ATAGAAAAAACCTATAGAATTATCAGAATAAACGTTTCTTTTTTAGAATTCATTAGTTCATTAGTTTATTCATTTTAGAGTTCATTAGTTCATTAGTTGAATCATTTTAGAGTTCATTAGTTCATTAGTTTATTCATTTTAGAATTTAATTGCTTTTTTAGAAAATCATTAGTTAGATTTAGAAAATACTCTTTTTTTGATTTGTTTTTCGCACTCAGGTGTTCCTATTTGCGCAGATCACAACCTGCTTCCACATTTCTCTATCCCTTGCTATTGTCATCATATGGCATCCTTATGTCCCGTGATTAGATCTCTCGGCCTTTGCTTGATCCGTCGATGCCGGAAGAGAGCAGGAGGCCGTGCGGGGGATTGAGGCAGAAGTGTAGTTGTCGTAGCCGATGATACTCCGATGGCCGGGCTGGGGCGCTCGGAGGGGAACCCGCAAGAGTCGAACCCACGAATATCCCGCGTTGCTTACCTTGGCAGATCGGACAGGATAGACCGCAGGCCCTTCCTCTTCTAGGCCCCTAGAAAATACTTTACGCGCGTTATTTAAGCACAAAGCATTATTTATATTTAAGCACCAACTCTACAAGGCTTAAACGCATTGATTTTTGGATGAATGGATGCATTTGGATTGAATGAATCATCACACTTTAAATGCATATAGCTTTATTTTAGAAACAATATTTGCTAGCTATTATTTGCTAACTTTTTCTATCATTGTATAGAGAAGATTTGAGGTTTTCGAATCGCAACAAATACAGTTTAAAAAGATATTGGGTTGATGAACGGAAAACTGAACTAAAATTGAACTTTGAACTAAAATTTCTTCAACATAAAACCATGAATTCATTCCAAATAATTTCCATTATTATTGACGACTTCTGCCCATTTTACAGGCAATTTGCGGATTCCTCTTTCGGGGTAGGATTTTGGTTTGTGTGTGAGACAAGTGTGAGACTCAAAAATCGAGGACTGGAGATGTCCCAGTTTGAGCACTTTCTTCAAAAGAAACCCATTTTGGTGTCAATAGAAAAGTTGTAGAGAATCAAAAATGAGGCTTATAGCCAAATTTCCAAAAAGGTACACTTAGTAGTTTCGCTTAAAATGCAAGTTTTGTGAAAATTCGTTAAATTTGGCATCTCTTAAAAGCCAGTTTTTGAATCGTTCTGAAAATTTGGATATAAGCTTGATTTTTGATTCTCTACAACTTTTCCATTGACACCAAAATGGGTTTCTTTTGAAGAAAGTGCTCAAACTGGGAGATATGACAATAGCCGGCAGTTTTCAATTCACCAACCCAATAGATTGAGATTAGCCTTGATTTGCGGAGAAGTCAATGTTCAATTCGACGATTCGGAACCCGCCAGATTAGTTTGGGAAAGGAGAGGGAAGGGGGTTATGTAAAAGCCCTGCGCCAGACGACGAGCGATTACGCGGCCGTACAAAGAACACACTAGCACACACAAATTTTAAGCGAAACTACTAAGCGTATCTTTTTGGAAATTTGGATATAAGCTTGATTTTGGATTCTCTACAACTTTTCCATTGACACCAAAATGGGTTTCTTTTGAAGAAAGTGCTCAAACTGTCACATATGACAATAGCCCCCAGTTTTCAATTCACCAATCCAATATATTTATTCACCAAGAAAGAATCAATAATCTAGGGGAATTGAGCCCTTAACCTCTCGACTAAGATCCAGGACTCTCAATTTAAAGGCCAGTTTGAATGGATTTTCTTCCAATGTAAAGTTATTCATTGAAAATATTCATCAATTTTTTTGCTTCTTTGCAATCTTCTCTCAATCAATCGCAATCTTTGAGTTATATTTGATCTAAAATGCTCCAAAGATCAACTCATTGATGGCGAATCAAGGCGATTTTTTTTCGATCCGATTTTTCAGAGATTTCACGACGAAAACCCGTTTTTTCTTTATAAATCCTTGGGTAATTCGATGATGCAAATGTTCTTTTTTTGGCAGTTTTATCTCTATCTTTCCCTTTATTCCTTTGGTGTGTCATTCTGTGATTTCTGTTTCCACTTGTTTACCCGATCACAGCATGACATAAAAACACAGCAGACCTGATGAGAAAATAGAAAATTTTAAAGATTTCTATCAATTCACAAGTTTCCTTTAACAATTTCTCATCGTTTTTCGTTATCTTCTTTAGAAAAGTTTTTAAAGGGGGGGTATTAATCGCGGCCAGGTGACGATAAACATTTTTTTACGGCAACAACCTGTTTTTTTGTTTTAATATCGCTGATTTTATTATAAAAAGAATAAAAATCACCCGGCTAGAGTGATTTGATGGGTTTACAAATTTTTGGAGACACTGCAAGGCTTGGAGAAAAACAAGATCGTCACTCATCAGACACCTCAGCACAGTCTAGATCGATTGAGTTTTAGTTGCAGATAAATTTAAAAACAAAATAAAAAGCACAAAAAGCAATAAAAATAAATTGTTAATCTATAATTCTTCCTCTTGCTCACTTTCATCTTCGCTCAAGTACAGCAGTTCGGCTCAAGTACAGCAGTACAAATCGGCTTCCTATCTTATCAATTTCCAGCGCATCTTCACCAAAAGTGCCTGGATCTTCTCCATCGTAGGACGTCTTCAGCGCTTTGATTGACACAATTCGATCTTTTTTCATTTGTGGTCGCTTATGGTTTTAGTTTTCTCAAATAGGTGCCTTTTAGCTGAGGTGTCTGATGAGTGACGATCTTGTTTTTCTCCAAGCCTTGCAGTGTCTCCAAAAATTTGTAAACCCATCAAATCACTCTAGCCGGGTGATTTTTATTCTTTTTATAATAAAATCAGCTATATTAAAACAAAAAAACAGGTGGTTGCCGTAAAAAAATTTTTATCGTCACCTGGCCGCGATTAATAATCCCCCCCCCCCCTTTAAAAGTGACTGGATAATGGATCGATGGATAAATGGCCTGTGAGGAGTGTGACAACTTCAATTGTGAGCTGGGGCTTTTCGATAGAGCTCACAATTGAAGTTGTCACACTCCTCACAGGCCATTTATCCATCGATTTCTTTGATCCCGGTAACAATACGATCCCAGGGTCAAGGTAGGTTCCAGTTTTTGTTGTTTACAACTAGTAAATTAAATCTAAAGTTAAAAACTTATATTTTAACTTATAGTTAAAAAATTCTATGCAATTTTGAGTGACAGATTTCGATATTGTCAATCTTTGAAAGATCAAGCAATTGATAAAACGAAGATAAAACGATGGCCCTCTTTTCCCCCTCGACCCCTCGGTGCCGCATTAGCTGTAGAGCTGCCAGTTGGTAGAGCGTTAAGTCGAATTTGCTTGGAAATCGGCTTTCGAATTCGAATTCGAATCGGGAATATAAAGAATTTTCAAGCAAATTTATATTTTATTGAAAACTGAATAACTTTAATGTTTAAAGATACTTTTCAAAATGAAAAATTCGGCGACTCGCGTCTTTTTGAGACCCTTTTTCCCTCCCCCTAAAACATTGCCGCATTAGCTCAGTTGGTAGAGCGTCAGACTTTTACGAGCCGAAAGGGATCTGAATGTCAGGGGTTCGAGCCCCCTATGCGGCTAATCAATTTTGCTGTTTTCCCCGCAAGGAAATTCTCAGGAAGAATAAACATCCCAAAAAAACACCAAAACTTCACTAAAACCTCACTAATTATCAAGACTTTTGATTGTCTATTCGATTCCAAACAATGTTTTCTTGTTTCCCCGGAAATTCTCTTCTTACAACGTTGAAACAATTGTAAAACGAATAAAGCTGAAAGAATTTTACAAAAAACGAGTTTTTGCACTTGAATTTGCTTGGAAATGGGCTTAAATTGTCTTCTGAACAATGTTGAACTTGTTGATTCCAAAACCAAATCAAAATTGTGAAAAATTGTGGCTTTTATTGTGAATTTCTCCGTGATACTTACCATTAGCATAATCAGGCGACACGCCGTGTTTTGAGACCCTTTTTCCCTCCCCTAAAGCGTGGCCGCATTAGCTCAGTTGGTAGAGCGTCAGACTTTTACGAGCCGAAAGGGATCTGAATGTCAGGGGTTCGAGCCCCTATGCGGCTAATTAATTTTTGCAAGCACTTTTAGAATTTTCAGAATAGTAGGCTCATTTAACGAAAGTTTTTACCAATCAGAAAACTAAACAATTTTCCTTTCCAGGATTGCTGCTTTAAAGAAACTGGCTTCTTTTAGTTCTTTATCAAATTTCATCAATCTGTACTTATCTCGTAACAAAAAAAGAATCAATTGTACTTTTGAGCAAAAAGGAAACTCCGGATGACCAAAAAACTGTTTGCCTTTTCTTTTCCCCTCCAATCAACAACAATCTTTTCTCTTGACCATTTTTCCTTTCGTTGTGCAATCGGGAAACGTTTTTTTGAGTCTCTTTTAATCTTTAGGTCAAAGGTTTGAATATTCGGAAAGGAAAAGAGCAAGTTTTGCCATTGAAGACTGAATATAAATACTCAAGGATCTAGCCAAGGAAACTAGACTGAATAAAAATGAATCCAGCTAGTGAATGTCTTTAGAGAAATTCAGTTAAAGACAGCTGTTGGCAGTCGAATGAATAGTTCTTTCATTTCCCACAAAACACCTTCAGCTATTGAGAAGATTTCACGAAGAATTCTCCAACTAAAGTCAGTTTTCCAATTCTCTTCCAATTCAAGGTTTTCAAAATCATTTTTATTTCCATTTATTCTCAAATCTATCGAATCGATTTTCAAAAAAAGTTTCCCCTTTTTTTGGGTTGACCTTGAAAATTCAACTGTTTTATTTAGCTTTTTTTTTCAAATCTTTTTCAAATCAATTTCCTTTTTGTGGTTTATTTATAGACTTTTTGAATTGAATGAATCATTGAACTTTGTTTAATAATTTTTTTTTCAGAGAATCCATTGCTTCAATCTTCATTGGCTTACGAAAGCTTTTCGTTTAATTGAATATTTTTCTGAAAATTCGGTCACAAAGAAATCGGGGAAATTCTTGAAAAATGATTTTCTTGATATTTCTCGTCATTATCGCTTTGTGGCTTTTTGAGCAAATGTATTGGAGACGAAGGAAATTGCCGCCAGGTAGATAGAAATAAGTACTTTGTGCTTAAAAGTGTAGAAGTTTCCTTTCAGAATTAAATAGGAACCAAATAAGAGTCAAATATGAACCAAATAGGAATAAAACGGGAACCAAATAGGAACCAAATAGGAGCCAAATAGGAATGACACAGGAGCCAAATAAGAGTCAAATATGAACCAAATAGGAATAAAACGGGAACCAAATATGAACCAAGTAGGAACCAAATATTGGGTTGGTGAATTCTGCGGGACTTTGAACTAAAATTTATTCAACATAAAAGCATAAATTCATTCCAAATAATATCCATTATTATTGACGACTTCTGCCCATTTTACAAGCAATTTGCGGATTCCTCTTTCGTAGTAGGATTTTGGTTTGTGTGTGAGACAAGTGTGAGACTCAAAAATCGAGGACTGGAGATCTGGAGATGTCCCAGTTTGAGCGCTTTCTTCAAAAGAAACCCATTTTGGTGGCAATAGAAAAGTTGTAGAGAATCAAAAATTAGGCTTATAGCCAAACTTCCAAAAGATACACTTAGTAGTTTCGCTTAAAATGCAAGTTTTGTGAAAATTCGTAAATTTGGCATTTCTTGAAAACCAGTTTTTGAATCGTTCTGAAAATTTGGATATAAGCTTGATTTTTGATTCTCTACAACTTTTCCATTGACACCAAAATGGGTTTCTTTTGAAGAAAGTGCTTAAACCGGGAGATATGACAATAGCCGGCAGTTTTCAATTCACCAACCCAATAGATTGAGATTAGCCTTGATTTGCGGAGAAGTCAATGTTCAATTCGAGGATTCGGAACCGGCCGGATTAGTTTGGGAAACGAGAGGGAAGGGGGTTATGTAAAAGCCCTGCGCCAGACGACGAGCGATTACGCGGCCGTACAAAGAACACACTAGCACACAAATAGCCCTGAATTCTTCATTTCTTTTGAGACAAAATGCTGAATTCAGTCTGCGTTTACACATTTTAAGCACAAAGTACATTTGTATCCAAATTACATCCACGATTTCCTTTAATGAATCACACAAAAAAAAGCCTGTAGAGTAAGTAGACATTTAATTTGAAAAGGAGTGATTCCAAAAGCTTTTAGAGTCGATTTTAAGCATAAATTTGAACTAAAAACGTAGTAGAGAAGTAAAGCAAACAATGAATTGTACTTTGTGCTTTATTGTTTCAAATTATTTCTTTTCAGGTCCAATGCCATGGCCTCTTGTCGGGAATATCCCACATGTTTTTGCAAAACAACCCGGCTTTGATGCTTATCTTGATTGGGAGAAAGAATACGGACCTGTGCATACTTATTATTTAGGTACAGCATGATTTTGATGAGTATGTGTTTTGATGAGTATAATTTTCTTGATGAGTATGATTGTCAGCTCCGAGCCAAGCTGATATTACTGTTACTAGTGTTATTATTGAATGATTTGTCTATTCTTATGCAAATGTGTTCTCCCCTGTGCTTATCCCTTTTATTGCCGAGAAGGGGCGGTCCTTGGGATTGCCTAGAAGGACAAATGAGACTCTGGGATTGGGATTGCCTAGGAGGACAAGTGAGACTCTCATTTGGAGTCCCCCCTTCCCCTTACACTCATTTCTAATCTATATCAGTTTGGCTCGGAGCTGACATGATGGTAAAGTATGATTTTCTTGATTGAGAGAAACAATACGCACCTGTAAATACTTATTATTTAGGTAGAATAACTAGAATCATTGTAGAATAGGTAGAATAGGTAGAATAACTCGAATAGAATAACAGGTAGAATAACTAGAATCTAGAATTCGTTAAATTCCATCTCTAGGTAATATGGCTTGTGTGGCAATCACGGACTATGATCTCCTCAAGAAATATATTGTGAATCAAGGAGAGAAATTCAGTGATCGATATCATATGCAAGAGTTCATTGATATGTATAGAGGTAAAGATTTTCGAGAAAGTAAAGGAATGGGAAAGGAAGAGGAAAGGAAGAGGAAGAAGGGGATTGAACTCTTGGCCTTTGCTCTGATCCCTCTCCTTCCCTTTCCAAGCAGATGCTCTAACCTATTCGACTGAGCTATTCGGTATCTTGTTGCCAGAGAAGAAAGAGGAAATAAAAGGGGGAAGAAAGGAAGAAGTCTCTTCCAGAAAGGAAGAGGTTTCTTCCAGAAAGGAAGAGGTCTCTTCCAGAAAGGAAGAAAGAGAAGGGAATAAAGATAAAGGAGATGAGATCAGATCATCAGATCAAGTCCAGATTGGTAAGCAATGATTGATAAAACCTGGACTGAGAACTTTATCCAGCACACACTCTAAAGCTGGCCTAGATTAGGACAGATTTCACGGAAGCTGGCTTGACGGAAGCTGGCTTGACGGAAGCTGGCTTGACGGAAGCTGGCTTGACGGAAGCTGGCTTGACGGAAGCTGGCTTGACGGAAGCTGGCTTGACGGAAGCTGGCTTGACGGAAGCTGGCTTGACGGAAGCTGGCTTGACGGAAGCTGGCTTGACGGAAGCTGGCTTGACGGAAGCTGGCTTGACGGAAGCTGGCTTGACGGAAGCTGGCTTGACGGAAGCTGGCTTGACGGAAGCTGGCCTGACGGAAGCTTACCTGACGGAAGCTTACCTGACGGAAGCTTACCTGACGGAAGCTTACCTGACGGAAGCTTACCTGACGGAAGCTTACCTGACGGAAGCTTACCTGACGGGAAGCTTACCTGACGGAAGCTTACCTGACGGAAGCTTACCTGACGGAGCTACCTGACGGAAGCTTACCTAACGGAAGCACCTGACGGAAGCACCCAACGGAAGCTTACCTAACGGAAGCTTACCTGACGGAAGCTTACCTGACGGAAGCTTACCTAACGGAAGCTTACCTAACGGAAGCTTACCTAACGGAAGCTTACCTAACGGAAGCTTACCTAACGGAAGCTTACCTAACGGAAGCTTACCTAACGGAAGCTTACCTAACGGAAGCTTACCTAACGGAAGCTTACCTAACGGAAGCTTACCTAACGGAAGCTGATTCAAGCCTCAATTCGATTAGCCACTCTAAAGCTACCATAATCCAGTCTATAGGCCAAATCTTTTCTTCCCCTTTACTGTTCTGGTTAGAAAGATCAACTTTTTGGCTTACTGCAACTAACTGGATTACCGATTACGATAGTCGGATGAAATTTTAAGCGCAAGGCTATCTGCAATCTGTAAATTTCCCATTTCAGGCGGTAACTATGGTATAATCGAGGCAGATGGAGATTTCTGGGTGAAACAGAGACGCTTTGCCATCTCAACGTTACGCGATTTTGGAATGGGCAAAAATATTATGGAACAAAGGGTAAAGAAAGTCATTTTTTGATAGAAAATTATTGTTTTAGGTATGTGAAGAGATCGATCACATGTTCAAGATGATCGAGAAAAGCGGCAATAAGTTGACGGTTCGTTTGGGGATAGATTTGCATTTTGCATTCATTTGCATTCATTTTTTGCTTAGTTTTTGGTGCATTTTTTGTGGAAATGTTAAGCCAATATTGTAGATATTGTAGAAAGGATATTGAATAGTTGAATTTCAAATGTTTGCTCATTCTTGCTCATTCTCTAGGCTCGTCGCCTTTTTACGATCGGTGTCGGGAATATCATCAACTCGGTGCTTTTCGGGTATCGATATGATGAGGTGAAAGAATGAAAAGCTTACAGAAAGGAGGCCAATTTTAAAGCTTTTCTTTTTCAGAACAACGAGCATGAGTTGTGGAAAATTCGTGACGCTTTAATGCGACAACAAACAGAATTCATCGGAGTACGGGGGATGATCGTTTTTCATATACCGTTTATGAGGAGAATCCCTGGATTTAGTGGTGAGAAGAGTGGATAGCTGGATAGCTGGATAGCTGGATAGCTGGATAGCTGGATAGCTGGATAGCTGGATAGCTGGATAGCTGGATAGCTGGATAGCTGGATAGCTGGATAGAAATTTGACTTGTAATTGATTCTCTAAAACACTCTACCCACCGTAACCTGGCCTAGATTCTTATGGCTTGATTTTTAATTAAGATCTTTGCGTTAAGAGTCCAATATTTGATATTACAGTAATCTTTATCCAGCTATCCAGCTATCCAGCTATCCAGCTATCCAGCTATCCAGCTATCCAGCTATCCAGCTATCCAGCTATCCAGCTATCCAGCTATCCAGCTATCCAGCTATCCAGCTATCCAGCTATCCAGCTATCCAGCTATCCAGCTATCCAGCTATCCAGCTATCCAGCTATCCAGCTATCCAGCTATCCAGCTATCCAGCTATCCAGCAATTACAATTCAAATTTCTCTTACAGCTTAGTCATTCAAGTCAGGTTTGTAGGCGGAAAAAAAGCTAACAAATGGAGAAGCTATTTTTTCCGCTTTCTCCGTCTCAGTGTGTAGCTGCTCGATTCGTTTGAAACTCAAAGCATATTCAATTTTCCGCTTTTTTTTTCGTTTACAAGCTTGGTTCAGGTTTTTGGGAGCGTTTGGAGGTCTACCGTGACGAATTTTTCGGCTTTTTCCAGAAACAAATCGATGATCATTTGAAAGAGATCGATTTTGAGTGTGAGGTGAGTCTAGGTGGCTGTATTACTGATGAAATTCTCTAGGAAAGCAATGATATCATGGAGGTTTATTTGAAAGAACAGAGAAAACACCGAAATGAGCCGGATGAAGGCGGTTATTCGTGAGTTTTTTTTTTTTGTGAAAAATTTGGAAATAACTATTTTTAGCGAAATTCAACTACGGAATATCGTTTTTGACATTTGGATTGCAGGTTTATTTTAAATCTTTATGTACTTTGTGCACATCTTTATGTACTTTATGCTCAAAATCCACACTTTCTCGCATAACAAATAGAAAGTAAGAACGCAGCACGCCAGAAATTGTGTGTTTGGACATAAACTACAGCAAAATTTTGAGCTTACCGTATTTCTTCGAATAGAAGACCGGGTAAAGAGTATCATCGCATACTCCTGCGTAGCAGCCCTTTTTAAAATCTCTTTTCTGCATAAAAGCTTTCAATCAAGTGCTATAGAGCTGGAAAATGGCTCAAAAATCTGTTAGCTCATGTGGTATTTTTGAGCCATTTTCCAGCCCTATAGCACTTGATTGAAAGATTTTATGCAGAAAAGAGATTTTAACAAGGGCTGCTACGCATGAGTACGCGATGATACTCTTTCCCCGGTCTTCTATTCGAAGAAATACGGTAGTTTGTGCTCAAAAAAAAGCACTCTTTCTAGCGCACCAGCTTTGAGCATAAAGTACGCTATAAAGCATCTAATACTGCAGCTATAAAGCATATAATACTCAGCATAAAGTACGCTATAAAGCATATAATACTTTATGCTCAAAGCTGGTGCGCTAGAGTGCTTTTTTTGAGCACAAACTAAGCTCAAAGTTTTGCTGTAGTTTATGTCCAAACACACAATTTCTGGCGTGCTGCCTTCTTACTTTCTATTTGTTATGCAAGAAAGTGTGCATTTTGAGCACTATAAATAGGCATTCTTGAGAAAAATCTAACTTTTCTCAACTCCAGGACTGGAAACAACAACCACAACTCTAATGTGGGGTATCAATTTCCTTTTAAATCACGAAGGAATTATGGAAAAGATGCAAAAAGAATTGGATCGAGTTGTTGGACATGAGAGAAAAGTGGAAATGAATGATAAAAATCAACTTCATTATTGTCAAGCTGTCGTCAGTGTAAGTGACGCGCCAAAACGCGCAAATTGACGCAAGAATTTCTCTATTTCAGGAAATTCAACGTTTCCTCAACTTGTTGCCACAAAATTTGTTCCGTATCGCGACAGAGGATGTACAAATTGAAGAGTATTTTATCGAAAAGGGAACAATTATCATTCCACAGATCAGTTGTGTCATGTACAATGAAAAGGTGAGAGCTGTGGAGATTTCATTGAATGAGCTACAGCTACAGCTAAGCTACAGCTACAGCTAAGCTACAGCTACAGCTAAGCTACAGCTACAGCTAAGCTACAGCTATCTCTGTAAAGCCAACGTTACACTTTTGCAGTTTTAACTGAACTCTCGATTACAGATTTTCCCGGAAGCTCGTAAATTTAAACCCGAACGTTTCCTAAACGAAGATGGAACCTATAAAAAGGTAAACGAACGACTTTTCTTTTCTGAACGACTTTCTTTATCTGAACTAGTGATTAGATAAAGTCTAAAGCGATTTCTCTAAACTATTTCTTTAAACTATTTATCCAAATCAGTATAACACCATTTTAGTATCAAGAATTGATCCCATTCTCGCTCGGGAAACGTCAATGCGCCGGTGAGGGATTGGCTCGATTAGAGCTCTTCCTCTTTTTCACCAATCTCATTCACAGATATGAGGTAATGATAAGATATGGACGGTCGTTGAATGTAAAAAAACAAGTTTAACAGAAGATATGCTACTGAAATCAAGTTTTTCAGGTCTAAAAAACCTCAAAGATTATTTCTAAAATTTACAAAAACTTCCATGTCTCTTTAAAGAAATACAGAAGAAAGAGTAAAAAAAAACAAAATTTCCTACATTTTTCTCTTTCTCTAAATCTTTAAGGAAAAGACATGAAAGTTTTTGTAAATTGTAGAAATAATCTTTGAAGTTTTTTACACCTAAAAAACTTGATTTCATTAGTTTATTTTCTATTAAACTACTTCTATATTTTAGTCTTTATAAATTTCCAATGTGTTCTATTGGGTTGTCCAGTTATGAATGCGCGTTTTTTACTATTCTTTAAATTTCTCAAGATACCGAAATCAAGAAAAAGATATATATGAGTATTATTCGAAAGCTGAAGATCTCCTCTACATTTTCATATAAAAAGCTTTTGAATTTGTTCAGCTTTTGGGCAAATTGACTGCACAGAAGAAGAGGTGGCCAAAAAATGGAAGGGTGCCTTTGGATCAAGTTTTGGCTGCGCTCAAATTGAGTTAAAGGGGGGTATTAATCGCGGCCGGGTGACGATAAAAATTTTTTTACGGCAACCACCTGTTTTTTTGTTTTAATATCGCTGATTTTATTATAAAAAGAATAAAAATCACCCGGCTAGAGTGATTTGATGGGTTTACAAATTTTTGGAGACACTGCAAGGCTTGGAGAAAAACAAGATCGTCACTCATCAGACACCTCAGCTAAAAGGCACCTATTTGAGAAAACTAAAACCATAAGCGACCACAAATGAAAAAAGATCGAATTGTGTCAATCAAAGCGCTGAAGACGTCCTACGATGGAGAAGATCCAGTCACTTTTGGTGAAGATGCGCTGGAAATTGATAAGATAGGAAGCCGATTTGTACTGCTGTACTTGAGCCGAACTGCTGTACTTGAGCGAAGATCAAAGTGAGCAAGAGGAAGAATTATAGATTAACAATTTATTTTTATTGCTTTTTGTGCTTTTTATTTTGTTTTTAAATTTATCTGCAATTAAAACTCAATCGATCTAGACTGTGCTGATGAGTGACGATCTTGTTTTTCTCCAAGCCTTGCAGTGTCTCCAAAAATTTGTAAACCCATCAAATCACTCTAGCCGGGTGATTTTTATTCTTTTTATAATAAAATCAGCGATATTAAAACAAAAAAACAGGTTGTTGCCGTAAAAAAATGTTTATCGTCACCTGGCCGCGATTAATACCCCCCCCCCCCTTTAACCGTTTGATGTTTGGCCAATAGATATATCAATACCAGTTTTTTTGTTTTAAATATAACAATTTCAGAGCATCTTTACTTTTCTGGGCGGTTATTTTCCACCATAAAACTTGAGGAATAGCTAAGCTGGAATGGGTTTTTTTCGAAAACGACCTCTCCCTTTGTGCAATCAATTTGCCCAAAAGCTGAACAAATTCCAAAGCTTTTTATATCCAAATGTAGAGGAGATCTTCAGCTTTCGAATGATATATAACACTCATATACATCTGTTCGATATCTTGAGAAATTTACAAAATAGTAAAAACGCGCATTCATAACTGGACAACCCAATATAAATTTTATCCGGCAAAGTTTGTTAAGAAAAATTTGTTTAAAGAAGTCCGTTCTTTTTATTTACTTTAAGTGATAATACTTTAGATTTATAGAAAAATAATAACTTAACTTTGGACTTTTGCATAATTTCAAGAATGAGCTGATCATTTTTCCTCTAAAAACTCTTTGTTCCATAACTTTGTCCAGCATTTCATATGTAAATTTTGCTCTAATTCACATTCACAATTGATAAAACCCATTTCTAGATCACCTCCGACGAGAAACCAACAATGGAGCGAAGTTTCAAAACCCTCATCCACACTCCTGACTTCACATGCAATTTTAAACCCCGTTTCTAACTTTATCATCTTGTAACTTATTCGTAAATAGTCAATAAATCTAATTTCGATTTACTAAAGGGTTTATAATAGTTTATAACAGTTTATAACAGTTTATAGCAGTTTATAACAGTTTATAATAGTTTATAATAGTTTATAATAGTTTATAATAGTTTATAATAGTTTATAACAGTTTATAATAGTTTATAATAGTTTATAATAGTTTATAACAGTTTATTACAGTTAAAAATAAGTCTAGAAAGAAAATGCACCAAGTAAAAGGGTAAAGTTGTTATTTAAACAATAATGATTTCAAACCTTTTAAATATTTGAGATCTTGGTCGTGTAGTAGTCGAGCTCCATCAAATACTTATCGCCATCTTTCTTCCAGTACTAAATTAAAGATTTGAAGAAAATTTATGCATTAATTTGTTTAACTTTAATGTTTTTATAACAATTCCATTATACTACATACTACATAATATACCATTATACTACCATTATACTACATTATACTCCATTATACTACACTATACAATTCCATTATACTACATAAAGCTTAAAAGCTCAAAAGTGTTGAGCTTTTAGGCTTTCTTTATCTAATAAATGTTGTACTTTCCATTTATCGTATAATTTATCTTCTAAGCATTTATATTATTATAATCATTTATGAAATCTACCTGAGTCTTGTCAATAACCATTTTTGTATCGTTTCCCTCATGAAGTGTCATTTCGTAAGCGTAACGAATCAATTCCTCACCTCCCGTAAAAGATTCGTTTGAAACCTAAAATGAAACTCTCAGCAAAAGAACGAGTGAAGTTTAATTGCCAACCAAAAACAAACCTTGCATTGCCAATTCGATCCACAGCTTATCCACTCTTTAAACAACTCGGAGATTTCTAAAATTAAAAACTTTAAACTGAAAACTGGTACTTGTGGAGTATCCGGGGGAGTCTTTCAATATCCGGGGTAAACTTTCAAAAACCAACCAGGCTTTACCGCTGTTTGCGTGTGGTACCAAACATAATAATTAAATAAATTTGTGAAGTACAACAGTGACTATTTGTAACAGTGACAATGAATACGACTTGTAAAAATCTATCGAATTAACTTCTAGGCCAGGAGGCCAAATATCAACACATAAAACTACCGCAAAAAATGGTTTTGAAGAAAAAAAAGTGACCCGCCAACTAGGATAGTATCAACATTTCTAATAATGACATAAAAAATGACATAGAAGTTACGTTTTTGATCGAGTATCACCTCGAATCACGTAATCACCTCGAATAAATTGAATATCTTTACATTTGAAGGGAATTTGCGGTACTTTTCCAATATCGGGGGAGCGGTCCGATTATCGGGGGAGCGAAAAGGAAAATCGGGGGAGCAAATTTTGCCCCCTCGAAAAATGCATTTCCGGGACTGTATTTTAACGGCAACGTTTTTTTTTAAACTTTAACGACGATGCGCTTCTCCGATATTTGTGCGTCAAGAAATCGACGGCAATCGATTATTTCGTCACCAAAGGAGTCATCCAGTCGTGGATTTGCAACTGTGGCGAATCGATGAAAGTCCGCTCCAAAGGGAAAAGATCTATTTCGCTGGGTATGTGACACTTGCGCACGGCGAAAGGTCCCCAAGAGGAATTCGAGTCGATAACTTTTTGCAACAAAGCAAGCTCCCGTTCGTCACAATTTTAAATAGGACACATGTAGCGCTGTCAAAATTTGCTCCCCCGATTTTCCTTTCGCTCCCCCGATAATCCTTCCGCTCCCCCGATATTGGAAAAGAACCAATACCTTTACATTTGAAGGGAATTTGCCACCAAATCACTTATAACGTATATAAAATTTTACCCCACTGGATCTTAAAATTTTACCACCCCGGATATTGAAAGACCCCCGGATACTCCACAAGTACCTGAAAACTTTAAAAACTTAAAACAATACGCCCATCATTCGTGCATAATCTTTAAATTTTTACCTTGATGTCCCTTGTAGATTTTCCTCTCTTTTACATCGATTTCAAGCGCATTTTGGTCAATGTACGAAAGAAAGCTAAACAAAAATTGTAAGAAAAGTATTTTTTTTAAAAACAAACTGGCTAAAATCGGGTTTCTTTCCCTCTTTTGGAGCGCATCCTTTGCCAGTCATTGCGAGCAGAGTTGGACGGAGAGCTGCTTCGAGACTTTTCTTCAGCATTCTACCTGAAATTTATCCAAAAACATCATTTAATAAGAATTAAGCCAAGAAAATAACTGATTTTTTCCAAGATAGATCAATCTTTATAAGTACTGAGATCCTAGTCTTATCTATAGATGCATTTGATCAAAGAATAATACAGAAAACGTGAGATTTTGGAATGAAAAAAGCGGGAAAAGGGAGAGATCCGAGAGAAATAAATGGGAAAACAAGTCAAAACGCGTGTGCTCTAACAAAGATCAAAAAAAAGAAGAAAGTTCTCGGTTTGATTTCAAGAATAAAAAAAAAGCGATTCATTACCGAGGTTTCTTATAAAAAGTAGATATCAAAAGTAGAAGTTGAGAAGTCAAAGACAAAAATTCACAACTCACACATAAAATAATTATACAATAATTGGGATAGGCTAATTTCCGCTACTTTTTTCGCGCAACAGGGTCATTTGCGCAACTGGGTCGTTTGAGGGTAAGTGCTGCAAGCTCTTCGGGAAATAGTTGGGCTAAACCTGAGCCATTCTTAGAGAGCTTGCAGAACTGACCCCCTCCCAGACCTGCCTAAGTGCATCCCCGCCTGACAATGCGCTATTACCGTTAATACCCTAATAGAATGCCATCTCTTCGTACAGTCGCGTAGTCTAACTTCTTTTTAGAAAATCCATTTTTTCAAGAAGAAGAAGATTTTAATGAAACTGTTTTAGCCACTCAAAATTCCTGAATGCGTTATTTGTCAGGATGAATGTGCGTTTTAGCATCATTTTGCAGGAAATTTCTTTTAGACTCAAATCATATCGAGACAAAAGAATCTCGCGCTCTTTAGTGTAATCATATCATTTGTACGGAATGTTTTATAAAGACGCGGAGACCAAATGTGGATGCGAAGACCAGAGAGGTGATGAAATACGAAATTACTTGTCCAATTTGCGATAAAAGATCCGCCACAAACATTGATAAATTGAAGGATCGATTTCAAGGTAAATCAGACTTTTATCTATTGGTAAGCTTGATTTAGATTTCCTGGGCGAATTGCCTGAAGTGACCAATCAAATGGAATCTTTGAGAAAAGCTACAACTTGTGCTGGATGTGATAAAAGGTAGGGTTGATGTTGAATTCTAGGTTTTGTTAGGGTTTTAGGGTTTTATTTACACCGAAACTGTTTATGCAATTTACATTTAAGGCTTATGAAATAGTAAAGGAACTTCAAAAGGAATCGAAAAATGTCATCAAGGCGTACAAGAATTCGTTCCCAGAATTACACAAGGAACTTCTTCATGATATCAACACATTTGAGACGGTAAGTTTTTGAACGAAGACGAACGACGAGTACATGAACAAGTCATTTGCGTAATTTGTGGTTTCTCTTTATAAAAATAGTCCTATTTTAGCTAAATTTGCTCCCCCGATTTTCCTTTCGCTCCCCCGATTTTCCTTCCGCTCCCCCGATAATCGGACCGCTCCCCCGATATTGGAAAAGAACCGAAAATCCATTTTCATTGACTTTTTTAGAAGTTACTTTTGAACGAAGAGACTCTCGGGAGTGCTTCAAATTCTGTCGATTTAGAGAAAATGCACAAGTCATTTGCGTAAGTTCTGATTTCTCCTATTTTTATAAAAATAACTCTACTTAGCAAGTTGCAAGTTGAAGACAAATTTTGAAATCACCGCTGAGAAGTATTTGCCTTGTTTACGCAAATTCGATACGGAAATCAAGGTTAGCTTAACTTTTTGGACCGAAATTGAAGTTTACTTCTTTTAATTGAAGTTAGGAAATGATCGAAAGGCTTCACAGGGATCCAAAAGCCTAAGAGAATATTGAATCGAGAAATGCCATTGACTTTTTATACCATTTCTTCTTGCTAATAAAATGTTCAAATTTTTTGTTTATGCAGTAAAATATTTTTGAAACGTGAATGTTTATCTCAAGCATTTAAAAAAGTTACATCCATATTTTCAGTAAGACTTCACCGTCTCCGATCATTTTCTTTTTAGAAATGAAAGTGTTCGAGTCGCTGAATTGCTTTCTTTGCAAGAAACCGTGTAAGTTGTTGGGTCTTTATTTATAAGCTTTAAGAAACTGATGAACATTTTCAATCTTTCAGTTGCCCGTATCGCCAATCAGCCTCGTTCACCACGGATCTTGAATTGCGGATTGGCCGTATGTCATGAATGCTTTGAGATGGAAAAGGCTAAATCGTTGGCGACAAACTTTGTAGCACATCTAGTTGGGAGTTATCTATTTGGTAAGCAAAGTTTGCTAGTGAAAATTTGGTACGAGTTGGTACTACTTTTGATAGCCTGAAGGTTGATTATATTATTATAATTAATATTATTATAATTAATATTATTATAATAATTATATTATTCTTTATAGGTAATGTGAGAAAACATCAATGCAACTACACGTGTTGTTACTCGAATCCCAACTTTGCATACTATTTAATTGGTGGGTTGAATTTCGTGGATTTTTAATAGCATAATTTAGATATTCTATCGCAAGAAGAGTCTCTTGCACTCGCTCCAACAAAAGACGGATATGTACTTGAGAAGGTTTTAAGCCTTATGTGATACTGATGAAACCCTTTTAGCCATTCCAAATTCCTGAATGCCCGGTTTGCCATGAGGAATGTGAGTTTTTATATTATTTTCGGAAAACATTTCTTTTAGATTCAATCACGGTCGAAGCAAAGAAATCTATCATTCTCGCTTGCAATCACGCCATTTGCACGGAATGCGCTTTGAATTTACGGGAACTGAATCCGAATGAAGTCACTAGAGAGAATGAGGACATTATCACTTGTCCGCTCTGTAGAAAGGGAACTGACACAAAGGTTAATAAGGCGAAAAATCTACTGCAAGGTAAAGTAGGCATTTGAATCATCAGCAAGTTTGTTTTAGATTTCCTGGCTGAGTTGGAATCAATGAGAGGAACTTGCGCTGAATGCGACAAAAAGGTAGGATTGATAGTGCGTTTCGTTTCGTAGAGTTTTTTTAGTACATTGTTGATGAAATGCTTCGATGCGTTGATTGCAAAACTGAGGTTAGTTTTTTTAAAGAAGGGATTATTTGATAACTTTCAGATTTGTGCTATGTGTGTTTTTAAAAACCATCGCACACATAAGGCCTGTCCTCTTTTGGGAGAAAAGGTAGAGATTTGCAGATTTGAAAGTTTTTGCAATGTACGTTTAAGGCTGATGAAATGTTCGAGACACTAAAAAGCGATTCAAGAAATGTCATCCAGGTATGATTAGCTTTTCAATCGAAATTAAATTTTACTTTTAGAAAAGGATCGAAACGCTTGACCAGGAGGCGAATATTTTTTTGGTTTTAAAAACTTTAGTGATTTTACCTTAACGAAACATTGGGCATATTTATTAGTCCATTAAATCTATTGTTTTACGCACTTTTAAACCATTTATGGTTTTTAATTATTAATGCACATATTTCCTTTTTTTTACTTTTTCTGAACTTTTAAATTGTTATTCTCAATCTGCTTTATTTGTCACAACTAGAACAATTTTTTTGCGCAAACACTTTCAAATGTCTCTGTAGATACACTTAATAAACTCTTTTAAATCTTTTTTTTACACACTTTTAAACCATTTATCACCCGAATGCACACTTCCTGGCGCCGACGACGATGATACTAAAACTAAAGCTACATTAGTCCATTAAACTTGGTAAATTTCAAAGTGAAAGATTGAAAGCGAGAATGTATCTTTTGGCTAAATTTATATCCGATCAAGATAAGATTGCCACAAGCATGCTAATTATAGGCGGTAAATTCTGTACAGGGCAGGACAGATCCTGAAGCTGATCAACCAAAACTTGGTCTTGTACTTGGTCGATTGATGGCCTCCAATCGGGGTACGAAGCTCAGCGAGCGAAGACGGGGAAATGCGCATTCGAATGAAAGGAAACGACAACCATCTGAAGGAAAAGAAAGAGAACGAACAGAATGAAATCAAGAAGTTGAATTCAATCAAAACGTACACTTTTTGTAATTTGAATTCGCAATTGACATTTGCATCCTCGAATAAAATAATTGAATAAAATTCTGCGTCGTATGGTATATGGCTCATGTCATTTGGCCACCTCAGCCTTCTGACTTTCCCTTTTTAGGGTTTACAGTCCTGTTTACATCTTAACGCCGTAATCTCCCTCTAAAGATCGGGCTTCCTTGGCGCAGTCGGCACCGTGTCAGTCTCAGAATCCGAAGGTCGAGAGTTCGAGCCTCTCAGGGAACAATTATTTTGGCTTTTTTGATATCTTTTTGTTAAAAACGGTAGAAGCTTGTTTTTTTATGCATTTTAGTTCGTATTGCCTATTTTCAGATTCCAGACACAGCCCGCTTTGTCAACTTATGCTTTATTGAGAATCAACAGCACCGAATGGCGATAATTCGAATGCCACCAGAATACTCGTCTTGGAAAGAAGACAGGTAAATGGAAAGAAGTTTGCAAGAAGCTTTGGAAAGTTGCACTTTTTGATGCAGCTTTATTGTTTTTGTCTCCCGGACAAGTTATTTCTACATTTTCCAATGACTTTCGCCCAAAAATTGGCTTCTAATTTGGGGTTAAATTTCGATTAAAAGACATCAAATTTACGACGGAAATGATTACATTAACGAGCCTTTTTCAGTTTGATAAGAGAATCAAAAGAAAAATTTTTCCGAAAAAGCTTTGAAGGCAAAATTTCTTGGAAAATATGCTGAAATTGTTATTTGTTTGTTTATTTCTCTTCTTCGTCGTTGTCTTCTCTGTTGATCCAATATGCCCTGATCATTTCGTCTATCAAAGTGATCTCAATCTTTGCTTGTTTTATCGAGGGGAAACTGGTTGGTTTTTTTTGGAATTGTTTAGTTAAGAATGGTTTAGTTAAGCATGGTGAATAAAGTTAATAAAAGAAGTCTAACGGGAAAGATCTGTAGTTGAGGATCTGTAGATGTAGATCTGTAGTTGAGGATCTATAGATCAGTAGTTAAGATCTGTAGATCTGTAGTTGAGGATCTGTAGATCAGTAGTTGAGGATCTATAGATCAGTAGTTAAGGATCTGTAGATCAGTAGTTGAGGGTCTGTAGATCAGTAGTTGAGGATGAAAATTTCTAGATTCGTGGAGTCATGCGAGGGATGATTGTTTGAGTGACCATGGGGATCTTCTCTCCGTTCACAATACTTTCCAAAACAATCTACTGGCTCAAATTCAATTCAGTTAGTGTAAAAAAGGATGAATTATTTTTAAAATTCAGATATGACTGGAGAAAATCGTTGTTGGTTGGGTGCTCATCGTGACCAAGGAAATATATGGACGTGGAGTGATGGAACACCACTTGATTATGATCGCTTCTTTCAGTCAAGTTTGGGTTTTTTTAAAAGATTTTGAATATAAAATCGTTAGGCAAAGTTGGTGACTGTGCTTACTTGGATGGAAGTGATCGAATGTGGAAGATCACTTCCTGCAATGAGAAACACAAATGGTTGTGTGCAACGAATGCGATCATTCCATCAACGACAGCTCCACCGACGACAGCATCGGATCTCGGATGTGCACCTCGTGGGTTTATTTTTAGAAATATTAAATGGATCTAAAGTTTGGGTTGAGATCAAAGATTTGAGATGAAAGGTTTTCGATGAAGAAACGTTAAAATTTCCTATCGGAGTTAGCCAGCTTTTGATGACTTTGACAGGCTTTTGATGACTTTGACAGGCTTTTGATCACTTTGACAGGCTTTTGATCATTTTGACAGGCTTTTGATCATTTTGACAGGCTTTTGATCACTTTGACAGGCTTTTGATCATTTTGACAGGCTTTTGATGACTTTGACAGGCTTTTGATCACTTTGACAGGCTTTTGATCACTCTGACAGGCTTTTGATCACTTTGACAGGCTTTTGATCACTTTGACAGCTTCTTTATAGGGGAAATGAAGTAAAGTGAACGGGAAATATGTTCAATACAAATATTTAGATCAAAAAAATAGTTGAATTCAGTAATTAAATCTAAAATGAAAGTACCTCTACAGAGAAAAATTCAGTTTCTCATCGGGATTTTTTTAATTAGCCAACGTTTCCCAAATCACTCACTTTCAGCCGAACAGCAACCATTGTACAAATGCAAAAAAGGATGGCAATACAATCCACAAACAGGATATCAATACATGGTAAATAGTGAATCTAGTTAAACGAGTTTGTTAGTGGTTTATTGGTAGATAGATAGATATTAATAGATATTAGGGATCGTCTATAAAACCAGACAACGTAAAAACCAGACAAATTAAAAATCAGACAACTTAAAAATCAGGCAACTTAACAACCAGTCAACCTAAAAACCAGACAACTTAAAAACCAGACCACTTAAAAACCAGTCAACTTAAAGACCAGTCAACTTAAAAACCAGTCAACTTAAAAACCAGACAACTTAAAAACCAGTCAAGTTAAAAACCAGTCAACGTAAAAACCAGACAAGTTAAAAACCAGTCAACTTAAAAATCAGTCAACTTAAAAACCAGTCAACTTAAAAATCAGTCAACTTAAAAACCATCCAAAAATTACATCTGAAATTCTTAATGAATAAGTATATGATAACTAGTAGACAAAATGATGACGATTGCTTGGTTGAATTGAGAGAATGAGCCTCTAATGTTGTTGAATTGAGAGAATTGATTGAATTAGCTGAATTGAGAGAATGAGCTTCTAATGTTGATGTGTGTGTGTGTTTCACTCTTTTTGAACTCGCTCAGCTCTATATTTTCTTGATTAAGATCTAGATTAAGCTCTATAGAAACACGTAGTTTTATGTTTATAGGTTTTTTTTATTAAAAGAATTCGGTACACCGTAAAAACGGTAAAACTGTAAAAATGTAAAAATGTCAAACGAATACAAGGTATAATTAGGTTGTCATTGATCAAAGTTACACAAATGCTGAATCATATTGTGTGAATCAAGGCGGTCATCTTGTTTCGATTCACAGTGCTGCTGAGAATGATTTTGTGAAGAGTGAGTTTCGAAAAAGAAACTTAAAATGATCAAATGAACAACCTAGATCTTTGCTGTACATCGGCTTGTCAAACGAGTCACAACAATTTGTATGCTTTTTATTTGACTGGTGGGATAAAGGTGAGCTTTCAAAAAAAAAAACTGAAAAAAAGATACCGTAAATACTATAATAGTACCCCACCCCGATAATGACGGTGCGGAGTGTTGCGTAGTCTAACTTTGAACGAGTTTTTCTCGACACTGGTTTATGCTACAATGCTCGTTTAGATATCAAAAAATAGCTGAAATTCAGGGCTATTTTTTCATACCAAAGCGCACATTGTAGCATAAAGCAGCGCGGAGAACGGGATGTTTAAAGTTAGACTACGCAACCATCCCGAAAAAACGAGTTTTTCTCGACACTGGTTTATGCTACAATGCTCGTTTAGATATCAAAAAATAGCTGAAATTCAGGGCTATTTTTTGATACCAAAGACGCATTTTTTGAAAGTACGAGCGCTTTGAAAAAAATGAAATACGAAAAAACTTTTGTGACTACGCGACTGTACGAGGGCGGTGGGGTACTATTACAGTATTTACTGTAGGTATAATGTTGTCGCAAACTATTCTTTATAGCTTACAGTATTTACGGTAGTTGTTTTTGAAAGATGACATGTTTTAAGAAATCTTTTCCCAAATAAGATTAAACTTTAAAGGTTTACAAAAACAACAAGTCTTTTTGACTTGACCAGTACTTGCTGTTGTTTGTTATCAAGAAATAAAGCATCTAGGTTTACGTACATTTGAAATTAGTAATCTTTCTAAACTCATCTAAGAATCTAGACAAATGGAACGTTTATCTGGACCGATGGGAGTCCATTCGATTATCAGCACAGTATTTGTGAGACCGATGGAGAGGACAATGATATTATTTATGTATGTGATTATCATTATCATAGCTTTTACATGATAATTTGTTCCAATACGGTTCCTATTTTGTTCCAATATGGTTCCAATACGATTCCAATACGGTTCCTATTTTGTTCCAATACGATTCCAATACGGTTCCTATTTTGTTCCAATACGGTTCCAATACGGTTCCTATTTTGTTCCAATACGGTTCCAATACGGTTCCAATACGGTTCCTATTTAGTTCCAATACGGTTCCAATATGGTTCCAATACGGTTCCGATACGGTTCCTATTTTGTTCCAATACGGTTCCAATACGGTTCCTATTTAGTTCCAATACGGTTCCAATATGGTTCCAATACGGTTCCGATACGGTTCCTATTTTGTTCCAATATGGTTCCAATACGATTCCAATACGGTTCCTATTTTGTTCCAATACGGTTCCAATACGGTTCCTATTTAGTTCCAATACGGTTCCAATATGGTTCCAATACGGTTCCGATACGGTTCCTATTTTGTTCCAATACGGTCCCAATACGGTTCCTATTTTGTTCCAATATGGTTCCAATACGGTAAATCAATCTTTTTGTAAATTCACTCAATAGTGAATTAATCTTCTTGTTATTCAACTATTAAAAGCCCTTAAGCAAATGAACTCTTTTGATTCTTCAACTAACGTTGTTAGTGAAGGTTACTATTGGGTTTTAACTATAGTACGTAATACCTGTAGTAGCGCCTCCCATAATGGTGTACAGTCGCGTAGTTGCTAAAGTAAATAATTTTTTTGAATGGATCGAAATTTTGTTTGTTTCAAGCGCTTTCTTTTGATATCTAAGTGCACATTTTTTTTGCGGAAGCAGTGCGGAGAACCGAGCGTCACAAAATTATTCGTTAGACTACGCGACTGTACGCTACTATTACACGTATTAGGGTAACAAAATCTTGAAAACCCTGCTTGCTACCGTAATCTTTAGATGATGAACTTTCAAGGATGTAATCTTTGTGGTCAACCCGGGATATGGCAAATTTTCGAAGCTACCCTAAAGTCGCGAGTATAAGTTCATCCGAGTATAAGTTCTGAATTTACATTTAAAGGGCATTTAAAGGGATGGAAAATTTTCTTCTTTCTTTAATTTTTATTGTTTTTTTGTTTTTTTTATTTTTTATTGTTTTTTTTTGTTTTTTTTTAATTTTTTATTTTACTAACGTTTTTTCATTTTAGATACGATGAGGAGAAAGTCGTACACCCCCGAAACGAAGCTCGAAGCGGCCAAATTTGCGAGGAAATTTGGAACGAACGCGGCTGCGATCGAATTTGAAGTCGCCGAACAGATGATTAACCGCTGGAAACAAGCTGAGCCGGCACTGATGACTTCACCAAAAAATAATCGAGCTTAGCGAGGATTGAGGGCAAAATGGCCGGATGCGGAGAAAGATCGATATTGTTTCCAACCGAACAGTCGAAGTAAAAGGAAATGGTGATATTTCAATTGCTTCAACGGGAAATGAGAAGACGAATTTCACAGTTGTGCTCGAAATTCTAGCCGATGGTTCGAAACTCCCACCGATGCTCATTTTCAAGCGCAAGACTCTTCCTAAAGGAATTTTTCCCGGTGTGATCATCAGTTTCGAAGCTAAGCACAGAATTCTTTTTTATGTCGCTTTAATTGCTTTGAATTTCTTTTTGTTGGGTTTTTATACATTTTTATTGTTATATAAACTTTTATTATTGTTCTTGGAGCGCGGGATACTACAGGGTGACAGCCTATCACCATTGCTATTTGTTATGTGCATGGATACATCCAGACGATAGTGTTGAAGAAGACGCTGGAAAGCATCTCTTTCGACCGTCGACGTGGACTTTGGCCGGATGAAGAGGCCAGGGAGGGATCCATAAGACTGAGCACCGGAGAGGAGCAGGGCGGACGCGCTGAGCCACGCCCGGAGCAACAAATAACAGCATAAAATTGCTATAACCCTCAATAAATTTACTTCTATTGTTCTTAAAAAGCAAAAAAGTTATGCTGCAGCGGGGTTCGAACCCTCGACATACCGTCAATTTGCATGACAGCCTTCAATTTGCATGCGAAAACCAGACAGAACTTATACTCGCGACTTTAGGGTACTAGAAACGAGATTGATCCTTATATTGTATGCAAGAAGAAATAAAGTCATTCTGTTTTGAGAATATCTCTTTTCATTTTCGAGAATCATTCTCTCCATTGTGATCTTGACGTTTTTGTCTCAAATCTTTAATGAACTTTTGCTGAGAGCTTGCAGCTTCCAATTTGGACAGAGGACTGTCAGCGTTTACTTTCTCCTCGCCATTTCTCCTCTTCATCAATCTATTTCTTAATGTGCTCACTTTTTATAATACTTGACCAGTTTAGTAAACTTTAAAAGAGTTCCTTTAAAACCAACTCATCTAAAGCAACTCAAAATCAAATTCAAAGTGGGAATCATTCTCTCCATGCTGGTCAACACATTTTGGAGTGTTCTGTTGGGGTCTTGAAAGCATCGAATACTTTTACAAATTTAATTTAATACTTATTAACTTTGAAAGTTACATTAGCATGTATCAAGAAATGAGTGTTGTGAACCTCTGGATGGAATGGGTAAATGTCCTGGATGGAATGGGTAAATGTTCTGGATGGAATGGGTCAATCTTCTAGATGGAATGGGTCAATTTTCTGGATGGAATGGGTCAATGTTCTGAATGGAATGGGCCAATCTTCTAGATGGAATGGGTCAATGTTCTGGATGGAATGGGTCAATCTTCTAGATGGAATGGGTCAATGTTCTGGATGGAATGGGTAAATGTTCTGGATGGAATGGGTAAATGTTCTGGATGGAATGGGTCAATGCTCTGGATGGAATGGGTCAATGTTCTGGATTCGTCGACTCTTTAGGCGCTTGATGTTCTATCTAAAGTTTCTTTTCATATTTATTTGATAACTTAAACTTATACTAGTCTTTTGAAAATAAACAAATTAATTTCTTTTTTATAAAATTTAGATGTCAAGTCAACTTTACGGTCACGGTCACATTCCCCTGAATTCCTTCGTCTTTTCGATAGATTGCAGCTTTGTAAAGATTTGTTTCTAAGTGTATGGCAATGAATTTAACTTAACTAATAAATTAATCTAATAATTAGCTAATGTTTTTAAAGTAATAATGTGTTAGAACAAAGTACAACCAAAGGCAAACAATTTTTGGGAAAATTATTCTTTTCCAAAAACTTTCGATAGAAAGTACCATTTATTATATACCATTTGAAAGCTCTAACTCTCAGCATCGTTATTACATTAAACATTTTTTGTCCAGAGTTAATTTTTAACCCTTACTGCCCTTCGGAATCAGCCGCAAGCACGGCGATTTACCATTTTTCGTGGTTTCGGAAAAAATTCTTTTCAACTGGGTAGCCTTTTCCCAATTCTTTTGATTTAAAATCAAGGGGAACGTTAACCGAACATGTGCAAATTCATTGTAGTAACTCACAATAAAGTTCGCCTCCGATCCTCCACCGATCGAGTGAAAGTTGCCATTTCCATCCATTCTCCTCGACAGACTTCATCCTTCTTCATCCTTCTTTGTCGATTTCAAAATAAAACTCAATCAAAAAAATTCAAATTTAAGTCAAACTTCTTTCCATTTACCTGTCTTCTTTCCATGGCGAGTCTTCTGGTGGTATTCGAATTGTCGCCATTCGGTGCTGTTGATTCTCAATAAAGCAAAAGTTGACAAAGCGGGCTATGTCTGGAATCTCAAAATAGGCAATACGAACTAAAATGAATAAAAAAAAAACAAGCTTCTACTGTTTTTAACAAAAAGTTATCAAAAAAGCAAAAATAATTGCTCCCTGAGAGGCTCGAACTCTCGACCTTCAGATTATGAGACTGACGCGCTGCCGACTGCGCTAAGGAAGCCCGATCTTTGGAGGGAGATTACGGCGTTAAGATGTAAACAGGACTGTAAACCCTAAAAAGGGAAAGTCAGAAGGCTGAGGTGGCCAAATGACATGAGCCATATACCATACGACGCAGAATTTTATTCAATTATTTTATTCGAGGATGCAAATGTCAATTGCGAATTCAAATTACAAAAAGTGTACGTTTTGATTGAATTCAACTTCTTGATTTCATTCTGTTCGTTCTCTTTCTTTTCCTTCAGATGGTTGTCGTTTCCTTTCATTCGAATGCGCATTTCCCCGTCTTCGCTCGCTGAGCTTCGTACCCCGATTGGAGGCCATCAATCGACCAAGTACAAGACCAAGTTTTGGTTGATCAGCTTCAGGATCTGTCCTGCCCTGTACAGAATTTACCGCCTATAATTAGCATGCTTGTGGCAATCTTATCTTGATCGGATATAAATTTAGTCAAAAGATACATTCTCGCTTTCAATCTTTCACTTTGAAATTTACCAAGTTTAATGGACTAATGTAGCTTTAGTTTTAGTATCATCGTCGTCGGCGCCAGGAAGTGTGCATTCGGGTGATAAATGGTTTACAAGCGTGTAAAAAAGATTTAAAAGAGGTTAACAAAAACAAGAGTTTATTGAGTGTATCTACAGGGACATTTGAAAGTGTTTGCGCAAAAAAATTTTTTGTAGTTGTGACAAATAAAGCAGATTGAGAATAACAATTTAAAAGTTCAGAAAAAGTAACAAAAAGGAAATATGTGCATTCGGGTGGTAAATGGTGTGCAAAAAAATAGATTTAAAGGACTAATCAATATGCCCGAGGTTTCGTTAAGATAAAATCACTAAAGTTTTTAAACACAACAAACAACCTTGTCAAGCGTTTCGATCATTTCCTAAAAGTAAAGTTTAATTTCGATTGAAAATCTAATCATACCTTGATTTCTGTATTGAATTTGCGCAAACAAGGCAAATATTTCTCAGCGGTGTTTTCAAAATGTGTCTTCAACGTGCTAAAATTTAGTTTCTTTGTAAAATTCAGATCAAAACTGACGTAAATGACTTGTGTTTGTCCTCTAAATCGATAAAAGTTGAAGCATCCTTGAGCGCTTCTTCTTTCAAAAGCAAGCTCTAAATAGCACGACGATTAACTTGTTTGCTTCACAAGACTTACCGTTTCAAATTTGCTGATGTCATCTAGAAGCTCTTTGTGCAATTCAGGAAACAAATTCTTGTACGTGTTGATGGCATCTCTTGAATCGCTTTTTAGTGTCTCGAACATTTCACCAGCCTTAAACGTACATTGCAAAAACTTTCAAATCTGCAAATCTCTACCTTTTCTCCCAAAAGAGGACAGGCCTTATGTGAGCGATGATTTCTAAAAACACACATAGCACAAATCTGAAAGTTATCAAATAATCCCTTCTTTAAAAGAACTAACCTCAGTTTTGCAATCAACGCATCGAAGCATTTCATCAACAATGTACTAAAAAACTCTACAAAACGAAACGCACTATTAATCCTACCTTTTTGTCACATTCAGCACAAGTTGGAGCTCCTCTCATTGATTCCAATTGGTTGACCATTTTGGGCAACTCAGCCAGGAAATCTAAAACCTACTTGCAGATAATTCAAATGCCTACTTTACCTTGAAATGGATCTTTCGCCTTATCAACCTTTGTGTCAGTTCCCTTTGTACAGAGCGGACAAGTGATAATGTACTTATTCTCTCCATTGACTTCATTCGGATTCAGTTCCCGTAAGTTCAAAGCGCATTCCGTGCAAATGGCGTGATTGCAAGCGAGAATGATAGATTTCTTTGCTTCGACCGTGATTGAATCTAAAAGAAATGTTTTCCGAAAATAATATAAAAAATCACATTCGTCATGGCAAACCGGGCATTCAGGAATTTGGAATGGCTAAAAAGGTTTCATTAGTATCACATAAGGCTTAAAACCTTCTCAAGTACATATCCGTCTTTTGTTGGAGCGAGTACAAGAGACTCTTCTTGCGATAGAATATCTAAATTATGCTATTAAAAATCCACGAAATTCAACCCACCAATTAAATAGTATGCAAAGTTGGGATTCGAGTAACAACACGTGTAGTTGCAATGATGTTTTCTCACATTACCTATAAAGAATAATATTAATTATAATAATATAATCAACCTTCAGGTTATCAAAAGTAGTACCAACTCGTACCAAATTTTCACTAGCAAACTTTGCTTACCAAATAGATAACTCCCAACTAGATGTGCTACAAAGTTTGTCGCCAACGATTTAGCCTTTTCCATCTCAAAGCATTCATGACATACGGCCAATCCGCAATTCAAGATCCGTGGTGAACGAGGCTGATTGGCGATACGGGCAACTGAAAGATTGAAAATGTTCATCAGTTTCTTAAAGCTTATAAATAAAGACCCAACAACTTACACGGTTTCTTGCAAAGAAAGCAATTCAGCGACTCGAACACTTTCATTTCTAAAAAGAAAATGATCGGAGACGGTGAAGTCTTACTGAAAATATGGATGTAACTTTTTAAATGCTTGAGATAAACATTCAGGTTTCAATAACATTTTACTGCATAAACAAAAATTTTTAACATTTTATTAGCAAAAACAAATGGTAAAAAAGTCAATGGCATTTCTCAATACAATATTCTCTTAGGCTTTTGGATCCTTGTCAAGCGTTTCGATCATTTCCTAAAAGTAAACTTCAATTTCGGTCAAAAAAAGTCAAGCTATTTGTATCAAATTTGCGTAAACAAGGCAAATACTTCTCAGCGGTGATTTCAAAATTTGTCTTAAACTTGCAACTTGCTAAGTAGAGTTATTTTTATAAAAATGGGAGAAATCAGAACTTACGCAAATGACTTGTGCATTTTCTCTAAATCGACAGAATTTGACGCACTCCTGAGAGTCTCTTCGTTCAAAAGTAACTTCTAAAAAAGTCAATGAAAATGGATTTTCTAAAAAGAAGTTAGACTACGCGACTGTACGAAGAGGTGGCGTTCTATTAGGGTATTAACGGTAATAGCGCATTATCAGGCAGGGATGCACTTAGGCAGGTCTGGGAGGGGCTCAGTTCTGCTAGGTCTCTAAGAATGGTTTAGCCCCAACTATTCCTCTACCAGACCTGCCTGGGCCTTAAAGTGTTTGAGGGTGGCTGAAAATGGTTGTAGCTACCACGAAAGATACAGTCATGGACAAACACAACTTTTTCAAAACATCCAAATTTGCGTTTTTCTCTTGATTTTTGGCACTTTCCGAATTTACTTTCAATAACATTATTAAAGCGCGTAGTTTTTCGTCCTTCGTTCCTTTCAACAATTCGTGGGGTAGGCTAATTTCCGCAATTTTTTTTTTTGCGCAACAGGGTCATTTGCGCAACTTGCCATAACTTTCCTCTAAGTCGGCCAATCTTTATGATGTTGGTTTCATTTTGTAGATCTCAATAAGTGCAACAAAATGAAACCAACATCATAAAGATTGGCTGACTTAGAAGAAATTTATCGCGTGAATTTTATGCTATCCAGTCAAGTTAGTTGAATAGCTCGTAACTTTAAGACAAGTCTATCCGTCATTCGGTGCACCGCGTACACTTTACCACAGGAAAATGAAGATTTCGCTATTTTTCACTGGTTCAAATGTTTTGCTTCTGAATTTAGAGTTGTTTATCTTATCTTTTCATACGTTTACTAAAGTGTTTCCTATTTTCAGATGAACAACGACGTTTTTCTGGAGGTGCGAAATGATTTGTGCTTTGAGCCGAGAGGAATCTATGGAATGGCCGCGAATCAACAAGGGAAATTGGCGGTCATCAAAAAGGTGTGTGCATTTATTTCTTAAATTTAGCAGAAATCAGAAAGAGAAGTTTTTTAAAACACTTAAGTTGTTTATTATAAACTGTTCACATTTTCATGTTAACCATGAAGAGTTTTAGGGACCAATAAAGTTTGGGGCGCGGGGGGCACTTTGATCTGATTTGAGCTGATTTGATCAGATCGTATTTTTCAGCAGTTTTATCAATGTTATTTCATTTTTTCTGGGGTGATACTGGATCTATTGGTGATATTTTTAGAAAGTTCTGAACAATCTTTGTTAATATTTTGTTGAGCGAGCTGAAGTATAACTTTTGCAGTGCCACCACGCTAGGAAATGAGGCCAGGAGTGAAATACAAAGTGAAAACTATTCAAAACACTCTAAAAATAGCACTAATAGATTAAGGGTATTTGATTACCCCAGAAAATGCAAAAATAGAATAGAAAAACACGCGTAAAATAGATGCTGGCCGGGTCAAGTCAAAGTCCCCCCGAACTTTATTAGTATTTTAAATTAAATTTAGTGTTTTAAATTATTTCGGATAGTAGCGACTTAAGCGAAGATCTTTTCATTGTTGATCTTTTTTCAGGTCGATAAACAGACTACAACAGATCCACGAGCTCCAGCACCTGATGCTGACGCGGTAATCGAGCAATACAATGTGCTAGGGCAAGGCGCGGCTTTATTGGAAATGGTGAGAATTTGCCGCATGTATAAATGTAACAAGCAAAGACTCAAAATTACTCGCAGAATATTTTATGCAGGGTAGTTGCTCCTTCTTTGAAAAGTTTAAGCATAAATTAATTGTTCTTTGTCTAGGTCCACTCACCGGCCAATGGATCTATCGAATGCGTTGCTTGGGTGGGCGAATATCTCATCGCTGGCCACATCTCCGGCTCAGTCTCGATCATTCATCCACACGCGACCGAGATCAAAGTATCATTTCAGTTTTACGATGATAAACCTGATTTTTAGACGGCTCAACTCTGTCCGTGTCCACTCTGGGCGGTGTGCGCGATCGATTCGACGAAATGCGTCTTTACCTCTCATTCAGCTCAAGTGATTATCTACGATGTGCAACAAAATGAGGTAAACAGAAAATTGGCAATACATTAAGTGTTTTATTGGTTTTAGACTGTCTTTCGACGAAATCTGGGGATCGATCAGCGTTTATTTAGTGTTGCGGCTTTAAAGAATTTGGTAAGTTTCATTTGATGAACCTTAAATTGGGTTTTTAGATTGCTGTTGGTGCAACAGGAGCAGTTTTCATCTTGGACGAGATGGGGCAGACGCTTTTTGAGCTTCAGGTGAGAGCTTGTAATAAAAAGTTTGTAGAACACATCTTTAAACCGGCTTTAAAGGGAGTAGATATTTTTTAAAGTTTAATGTGTTTTAGGTTGAACGTGCCGATCGTCAACTACCAACGATTGTTTGGAGTGTTGCACTTGTGGAGGTTTGTTAGGACAATTTGTTATTTATTTGTTTGAATTTGTTAGATTAAAAGTTAGACTTTGGACATGATTTCAAAAACAAGAACATTAGATAAGATAAATAAAAGATAATTTTTAGACAAAGAGTGGAATCTCGGCAATCACAGGCGACTCGCGTGGTACCCTCAGCTTTTTCGACGCAAAAAGTGGAGCATTGCAAAAGGTTTGGTTTAAAATTTATGTTCATTGCATCACTAAAATAAATTCAATGGATTAATTCGTCCTAAATTGGAGTACATCCTAGGTACCGCACACCCATATAAGTCATTTTCCCAAAAAAACAAAAATATGGGCTAGTCCGGGGATCGAACCCGGGACCTCTCGCACCCAAAGCGAGAATCATGCCACTAGACCAACCAGCCGCGAGATGCCGATCGGAAAGAAGCCTTATAAAGCTTGAAACGAGGGCTGAACAAAGAAAAAATATCGGGCCAGTCCGGGGATTGAACCCGGGACCTCTCGCACCCTAAGCGAGAATCATACCACTAGACCAACTGGCCGATGTGTCTCCCCACTAAAATCGGGGAGATGTTTCGGGCGAATCCTGTTCGTCTTGAATGTCGAAAAGCTGGTTTTGGTGTGAAGAGACTGTCAATCGGAGAAAGAAAGACTTCCTAAAAAGAGAAAGAGAAGGTTCTCTTCTTGCAATGCGGCAAAAGAAGATATCTCTTTCCCATATTTCGATGAAAAGGCAAAAACTTAAACTAAAGAATAGTTCAACTTTTTGCGCACAATAATACAAAAATTTTGTTAACAAAACAAAACAAATACAAAAAAACAAAATAATAAATTTTTTTATGTTCTGTAAACCAAAACCGTTTATGAACATTTTAGACAATCCATTCTCATCAGGCCGACATTTTGATTGTTCGCCAGGCGTTCAGCAAGAATCTCAAGAATGCACAGGTATTTACAAACTAAACTATTCGATTTTTTTAAAAATAACTTTAGATTATGGCCGCCGGTGTTGATCCACGAATAGTCGTTGTGGAAAATAAGGTTGGAGAAAGTTTTTTAACGCGTTCAAGTTTATTTTCTGCTTTAGACGGGCTCAAACTGGGAAACGGTGTCGATGATCACCGGAGCGCAAAGCGATTTACGAGCTCTTGCTTTTTACAATGAAAGGGTTGGTTAAAAATGCTTATCTGTAAAAGTTTAAAAAATTTTCTTTAGCTGTTCGCCGGTGGTGCTGACAGCTCCCTCTACGAAGTACCAAAGTTCTACGAGCGGCGACGAATGGTTCTACAAGATTTGCCAATTGATTATTCGGTGGGTTGTTTTGTTTTAGCTTTCAATAAAAATCAAGTATCAAAATATTAACTACACAATGATCAACTAAATTTTTAAGACATCGATTCTTACGGGCGGTCGTTTCTCGGTGGTGCGCGGGTCGAATCATTTGGACATGTGGACATCCGGAGTTACTACTGAACAAGAAGATGTAAGGAGTTAAGAATTACCATTTTCATGATAATTCTTTTGAGGTATTCACTCATGCTAACTGTTTCCAATTTTAGGCTGATGGCGCTTTACAATTGAAGCAACAACCAAAACTTTTGGCAAGAATCTACACACAAGGAACGCAAATTGTCACCGCTTGGTGCGTTATGGCTTTTCATTTGTAGTTTAGTTCGTTGAAATTAGCTTGATTGATCCAATTTACTCATCAAGTTTAGTGCTCTTTCGGAGAATGGAAAAATATTGTGCGTATCGACTTGTGAGAGCACAAGTGCCTATGAATTGAAACTCTCGAAGATGGTTCCTGTTAGAAGGCTTCCATTTAGAGGAGTCCCATCAACGGCTATTGGGGTTAGTTTATAAAAAACATAGCTAAACCTAGCTGAACTAGTCACAAATTTGTTTTCATTTAGATTTTGGACAAGAAAATCTTGCTCTGCCATGACAACTTTGGCATTCGTCAGTACGCGTTAAAAGGAGGCGATCAAGAGGAAGAAGGGAAACAGATCATAGAACAATGTAAGCTGTTTCTTTGAAAATTTATGCTCATTATTTCTTTTTAGATGGATGTGCCGCCGTGTCTCGGATAGCAACACTTGCGAATTTCTCGAAAGTCGCCGTGTTGACCACTCGTGCACAAATTTTCGTCATTGATCTCAACAAGGGGACGTCAAATTTGTTGCCAAAGGTGAAAAAAGAGATTTTAATTTAAAATATAAAGTTTGATTTTAAAAGTCTTCGTTATTAAATTTTTTAGATGGAAAATTGTGTGCCAACATCGCTGGTGCTTTCCTCTCCAAACATTCTCACCGTTCTCTCTACGGGCATCGATTCCTCGAATGCAAAAGTGATTTCGCAGGTATTTTTTTCGATTTTGTAAGCTAATGTGCACAATAGGATGTTAAAATTGATGTTCTTTTTTAGTATTCTTTGGATGCGGCGCCAAAGTTCACTCAACTTTTTAATTTTTCCGCTCTCTATCCATCGCCCGGAGTAAAACCGATTTTGGTGAGCTTTCTAGTGTTTGTTTGGAATTTTCTTTTATTTATAGACCAGCTTGTCGAGCTCCGGTGGTTCGCATGTGAGTTTGATCGATACAAATGGAACTTTGATTGTATTAAATGAGGTATTTTTGACAGTTGATTGTTGAATACTAGATGAATAAGTCTATGTTAATGATTAAGTTTAGTTTAACGAATTCAATAAAATAACTTCCATGTTTAGAAATCGGTACCACTGACGACAAGCTGGAAGCAAGCCATAGAACATGAAGAAACACTAGGATGGGCGATAGGATGGAGAAAAGTCAAGGATTCAAAAGAAAAAGGTTATTTCCATGTTTTAAATGATTTAATTAATCTTTAATACTTGCTAGCCACTAATCGTAAGCTCTATTAACTACGACTATCAATTAATCATTCATTTATTTTAGATGAACACAGTGTCCTCTCGGTCATTTCAATCCCTCGCCCGGCACCCACTCAAGCACCATTTAAACTGAAGAAATTCGGGCAAAACTAAGAACGTTTTTATCCTTAGGCATTCATTATTTTTGTTATGTTGAGATTTTTAGCTGGCTACTGTTATTTCATTGTTGTTATTGTTACTTTTTTTTAAAGATTGTTAATTTTGTTCTGGAAATAAAACTTTAAAGATTAAAATTGAGGGGGATTTTACCATTTTATTCTGTGGTTAGTTAAGCTATGTCCTTTATAAAAACAAAAACAACAATGAATCAAATTTGAGCATATAAAAGTTGTCCTTTACTACAATAATCTTTGAAAGGGCAAATGTTTTTGAATGGGCTTCCGCTAATTGCCAACCAGACAAATCCCCGGCTTTTTCAAAAGAACAATTTTGAACGGGAAAACAATTTGCGTGAAGTCTAGCCTTATTTGAAAGAAGCCGTAAAAATGAATGGGGGTGGATGAAAGATTTGTTTTTGATATTACTGTATCCATCAAAGTTAACAAAGATCAATGACTTGTTTTTCTGACAAAGCTACCGATTAGAAATTAGATTACAGTAGGAAATGTGAAAAGAGCTGGAATACGGTAGGGGGAGTATTGTATTTTTTTCCTAAGCTATTTCCTCTTTCTCTTTCTACCGTAATCTTATTCCATTTTTATTCAATCTATCTACTTTTTTTTCTGATTTTATAAGGCTTCACAAAGATATCAAAAGATACAAAAAGTGAATAGATTAGAAAAAATAGAGACAAGATTACGGTAGAAAGGAGATACGGCTTAGAAAATGAATCGGAAGAGAGAGACAACTGGATTATGGTAGCTTTTCTAAAGGAAATCTTTTAGAAAACTTATTGAAAGTGGGGGTCATTGAAAGCTTCAATGGTTCTATTTTGTTTCTTTTTTTTACGTCATAATCAAATTTCACAAGCTATTTTCTCATAAAATTAAAATAAATACCAAAAAACACCAAAAACACCCAAAAAAGCACTCGGAAAACGCTAAAATTTGATATTTTTTATGTGAATTCAACTTGTGAAATTGATATTTCATGAGTCATTCAGTCATGAGCCAAAAAAAAATATTTGCATATCTGTACTTCTGTGAAATGACTCATGAAATATCAATTTCACAAGTGAATTTACATAAAAATATCAAATTTTAGCGTTTTCCGAGTGCTTTTTTTTTTTGGGTGTTTATGTATTTATTTTAATTTTATGAGAAAATAGCTTGTGAAATTTGATTATGACGTAAAAAAAAGAAACAAAATAGAACCATTGAAGCTTTCAATGACCCCCACTTTCAATAAGTTTTCTAAAAGATTTCCTTTAGAAAAGCTACCATAATCCAGTTGTCTCTCTTTTCCGATTCATTTTCTAAGCCGTATCTTTTACTTTTGTGAATGACTCATGAAATCTCAAATTTCACGAGTCATTTCACAGAAGTACAGATATGCAAATATTTTTTTTGGTGATGTAGATTGGGTTCTTTTTTTTGTAACTGTACAACAATTCTTGCTGTGTAAACTTTCAAAAAGCTTGATGTTTGTTTTTTTATTGAAAATCATTTCTCTAACTCAACTACACCAAAAAAAAAGTGAAACCTCAAAAATCTGTTTTTCGAAAAAAAAAAAAAATTCTTTTTTTTAGTCTCTTTTGTGGCCTCGAAAATTGCTCGGGTTGTTGTTATTTTTACTCCGTTTTTTTTTCCTTTTTATTCCCTTTTCCCAGGCTTTATTTGGTCTGTCGATTTGGGGGATTTCTCCATTGTACCAAACAATTTTCCCGGTACCAAACAATTAGATATTTGCGCTGTTATTCTGTTTTTGAACTTTTCCCCGACAAAACACGCCCCGGATAAACCTATAAAAGGTAAAGGAGATTCAACTGAACAATAAAACTTATCGAAAAGTTGAAAGCTACAGTAATCCGAAGTCTAAAGTCGAAGCCCTTTCGACAGTAATCTCTCAACAGTTTTCCTAAAACGCTCCCAATTCTATCGTAATCCTTGCTGCCTCAAAATGAAGCTCTTGCTTACCGTATTCCTTGGCTGTCACTTTGCTGCGGGGCATTTATTGCCACCAAATTATTCATCATCATCATCATCATCATTGTCTTCAACTTCAACTTCAACTTCAACAACAACAACAACAACAACCTCCTCCTCCCCAATCTCAATCGCTTTCCAATCAACCACAGAAGTGGTCAGCGTGATGAAAAGACAGGTAAAGTGACGTTTACTGTAAGTAATACTTTGCTTAAGCTTGGCGTTGATTTGAGGATATTCAGTTGAATAGTGGTAGCTATCAAAAAGCTTTAAGCTACAGTAATCCAGCCTGATTTCTATTGAGTGCCCTTTCTTTCACCTAGTCCTAAAGTGCGCCATTTCTAAAGGATTCCAAACGGGGTTTTTCTACCACATTCTATCGTAATTCAAGCGATCACTGTAGCTAGTTCTAGCCTAGCTTGTATCAGTTCTTTCTAAACTAGCCTCAATTCAGGCTCCCCTTCAAACCTGTCCTCCATTGATGGTGACGAGTGGAACAGTCAACTATATGCAGGGTTTGTTTTGCTAATAAAGAGAGATTATTGAAAGAAATGTACGAAATGTACGAAATGTACGCTTTAAAATCCCTTTTCAGCGAATCCAAATGAGCTATACTCACAAGGAACAACAGCCACTCTTTCGTGTCCAACCGGCTCAGTGACTGGTGCGATGACGACCACGTGCACCAGTGGAACATGGCAACCACCAATTGGTGAGTGAATGACAAAAGTTCATGTACTTTGTGCTCTCTCGTAAATACACCATTTCTGGGGCACGCAACTCAGCACAATGAGGAGTTGAGTGCACCAGATTCAACGTGTTTACCCTTTGAGCTCAAAGTATACTCAAAACAAGCTCAAGGTTTAGCTATCTAACATTTCTTTTTATCATTTTACCCTTTTTAGGCTCTTGTGGAGGTGCAATTGGTGTCTCGAATCCCCTCGGAATCGGCAGTTTCTCCCCATCACCATCGGTTCCAATGGGACTCGGCACATCCCCATTGGGCGTACCCGGATCAACGGGCACTACTGGTGAGTTGAGAAAGAGTAGTACTGTAGCATATCGTACTCTTGGCACAATTCGATCGTCTAGTACCGTTTCTAAAACACGATCGATTCTACTGTAATTGTTTAAATGCAAGTTTGCAGGCGCTCTCCAATGTTTGGACATGTTGACGCCGATGAATGGACAGATTAAATACGGTGAAACCGGTAAGACGAAAAATAAACAGGATAGGCAATAGCTAAAAATTTAGGCCTTCATCCGAGTGGCTCACGAGCAACACTGTCTTGTTCTCCCGGATATATGGCACAAGGTTGGTTATTCAAAAAAACCTAGAGATTACACAGCCAGATTTGAACTAATTTTTATAATACACTCAAAAAAATTCCAGGTCAAAACGAAGCCACCTGCACAAACGGTGTCTGGGTTCCGGCGGCAATGGGTGAGTGTACTTGAAATTGTGAACGCACCCTTCCTGGTGCGCTAAACTCGTTATGGAAGCTGTCTAATTGTTCCCTTTCAGGAATGTGCTCAATGAGCTCCTCCGGAATGACACCAATAATCCCGCCATCGGCAGCAATGGCATAACTTAATAAATTTAGAATTTTAGCTTTGCGAAATAAATTATTAAAATGCAAAACAGGTCCTTTCCCAGACTTAAACCAGTTTATTTGCAAAACTATGTACATGATAACAAGTTGTAAAACATAACAAATTAAAAATATCACCAGAAAGTTTAGTCAGAAAAATATCACCTTTTGCATGGCCAATTTAATCCTCCGAAAAGGCGACATTCTCAAGAGTTTGAATCGATCCCTAGAGGAAAATATAATTTTTGTCTATAAATCTGCACCTACCTTGAGTTCGGTACAAAGTTTGCGCAAAAGTGGCATATATTGCTCAAACATTGCCTCGAAACCAGTTTTAAGCCTTCCAAAAATTTCATAGATGAAAATTAAAGTGAAGACTTACGCGAATAACTTTTTTTTGGCTTGCAAATCGACAAATGTAGAAGCATTTTTAATAGTTTCTTCTTGAGAAAGTCACTTCTAAAGTAAGAAAAAGAAAGATTGACTTATTTTCGAAGAACTTGCCGTTTCAAAAGAGTTGAAATCATTAAGAATGTTCTTGCGCAATTCGGGAATCAAATTCTTGTATTTCTTGATAACATTTGTCGAATCTCAACGAAGTTTCTCGAATGTTTCACTAGCCTTAAAAAGCTTTATGAGGATTTAAATTGAAAGTATAACAGACCTTTTTCGCCTAAAAGTCGAATTGCTCCATGCCCATGATGTTTCATATAAGCGCAAGTTGCACAAATCTAGATGTACAAGTAAAAGTTTACGTTCACACTTGTTACCTCAGAGCAGCATTTGAAGAAATGAAACATTTCGTCAATAATGCATTAAAAAATCTTTTTTTGAAGCTCCATATTGCTATCGTACCTTATTGTTACACTCAGCGCAAGTAGGAGCCTTTAACATGGATTCAAATTGATTCATCCAGAAAATCTAAATCGAAAAAATAAAAGAACAAACGTAATTTCTACCATGGAATCAATCTTTAGATTTGTCATCGTCAGAATAGGTCTTCTCGCGACAACTCGGACAAGCGATTTTGTACTCAAAGTCGTCGTCATCAGTCGTTGATCCCGTTGATGCCCGCCCGTGCCTTCAGATAACACTCCGTATAAATGATGTGGTCGCAATTAAGGACAAATGATTTCTTTGTCTCAACACTGATTGAATCTAAAATAACTTGTATAAATACAGCTTTTTGGCACTTTTCCAGTACCAGGATGGAAGTACATCCGAAAAAAAAACGCTTATTGATAAACAAACAAGGAATGCACTCCCCTAATACTGGAAAAGCATAAAGCGTTTGGTTAAACTTACATTCATCGTGACAAATTGCGCATTCAGGGATTTTGAAATGGCTGGCTAAAATCGTATTGGTAAATTCAACAAAAAGAACCGACCTTCGAAAGCACATATCCGCCTTCCATTAGGGCAATTTTCAGAGCATTCTCCTGCGATAAAACATCTAAATCAAATATTTCGGAAAATAACAAACTTCTCAACAAAATAAACTTCACAAATCAAAGCCACCAATAAGAAAATATGCGAAATTGTCGTTATAAAAGAATTATCCATCACATATTGATGTTTTCTTTCGCCTTCATCCAATGATTTCTCCTGCCCGAAGCATTCATGGACACATTGCCATTCCGCATTTCAGACATCGTGGTGATCGCGGCTGATTGGCAACTCGAGCAACTAAAACACTATGATAATCCGATCATAATAGATTTTCAACTCGCTTTTTTTATAGAAGTGTCCCGTTTTTCCAAGGAAACGCTGATCAATAAAGTCATATGGGTATTTATCATATGGGTTCATCATAAAGAGTGGCATAGATAACTATAAAAGTTACAATTTACACGAAGACCCTGCAAAACAAAGACTAGCAGAGGCTAAGGTAAGGTGTTCTTTAGGAAAATCTTATTCCTGTATGGTTTAAATTTGTAGTTATCCTAATAGTATTTATCCACCACTACGCCAATAGCAAGTTTTAATTTTATGGCAAAAGTCTCATGGTGGCTCAGAAATTCCTTGTATTTGGGAGTGAAAATCAAAAAACCAAAATTTCCCGACCTCAAAAAAAAATCATTTTTACACCATACCTACCACCATGAGCCACCGGAAATATTTTAAAAACTTGATCCGAAGTGGATTTTCTTTTTTGACACCCTGTAATTTTTAAAGTTCAATAGGCACAAGATCCGGTCAAGTTAAGCTAAAAGTGGTCAAAGTATCAAAAGCTTACACGGTTCCTTGCAGAGAATGCAGTTCAACGACTCGAATACCCTCATTTCTGGAAAGAAAACGCGATTATTAACATAGAAAGAAATAAGAAAGCAATGAACAAAGGTGAAAACTGTGCGCAAAAACTTTAAACGCCGAAATGGGGAAGCTGGGGCCGAAAAATGACCGAAGCTAGTCAGAAGTTGGTTTTATATAAGCGCATTGAGTCAGACTATGGTAGAAAGAGTACATTTTAGCATGAAAACTCAACGCTCAATTGCAGTTTTGTGTATAAGCTTGCAAAAATCACAATAACTTCTTGTTTTTCGCGATTCTAGGTATACATTCCGAGTGTCCCCCCTTGCCAGAGGCATTTTGCGTTTTTCTCGACGCACAATTTACCAATTTTGCTGTTTTTGGTTTCATTGGATAGAGGAGAGTTAGACGCATCGAATGAAAGCAAAAGCAGCAAAATTGGTAAATTGTGCGTCGAGAAAAGGCAAAATGCCTCTGGCAAGGGGGCACAGGATGGGGGGACACTCGGAATATATAATCCAACCGTAAATACTGTAATAGTACCCCACCCTCCTCGTACAGTCGCGTAGTGGCAAAAGTTTTTTAGTATTTCATTTTTGTCAGAGCGCCCGTACTTTCAAAAAATGTGTTTTTGGTATCAAAAAATAGCCCTGAATTTCAGCTATTTTTGATACCTAAGCGCGCATTGTAGCATAAACCAGTGTCGAGAAAAACTCGTTCAAAGCTACACTACGCAACACTCCACACCGTCATTATGGGGGTGCGGTACTATTACAGTATTTACGGTATTTGATTATTGAAGCTACCGTAAATACTGTAATAGTACCCCACCCCCCTCGTACAGTCGCGTAGTCGCAAAAGTTTTTTCGTATTTCATTTTTTCAAAGCGCCCGTACTTTCAAAAAATGCGTCTTTGGTATCAAAAAATAGCTGAAATTCAGGGCTATTTTTTTGATACCTAAGTACTTTTCTTTTTGTTAGCTGCTTTTTATATAGAATTAGAATCGTTTACAGTAAGCTATTGTTTAAATCTTAGGTCCAGTGTTTAAATCTAGTCCTTAAGCTCATCAATTAGCTTTGAAAATTGAGCAACTCAGCAATTGAGCAACTTTTTTAGTATTTCATTTTTGTCAGAGCGCCCGTACTTTCAAAAAATGCGTCTTTGGTATGACAAGATAGCCCTGAATTTCAGCTATTTTTTGATACCTAAGCGCGCATTGTAGCATAAATCAGTGTCGAGAAAAACACGTTCAAAGCTAGACTACACAACACTCCGCACCGTCATTATCGGGGTGGGGTACTATTACAGTATTTACGGTAGGGAAAATTTTCACATTTTCAAGGCTACGACAGTTTGCTAGAGTTGCCACGTTTTAGGAAACGAATATTTGCTTTCGATTTGCTTTGTTTTACTCTCTAACTTGTCTCTACTTCTGTAACATTTTTGTTTACCAAAACTTAGGCTCTACTAACTTTCAGAAGCTATTTCAGAAGCTATTTCAGAAATTTCCTTTCAATAAACCCTCATTTCAGAAATTATTATAGTGTTATTTAGTCATAATCGAATAAACAAAAAATGCAGAACGCTTTTCTTTTTTCTAAAAAACCCTTTTCTTAAATGAGCATTTTTGAAATTTGATCAATTTTTGGAACTTAAACTTGCATTCGTCGATTTTGCAAGATTTCCTTACAAAACATATTGTTGGATGGCAATGGGGCATTACTTTTGTGGACCACTGTACAATCCCTTAAAAGAATACCATGATTCAACTTTCAATTATGAATTTAAATCCTATTTCTTCAGCTTAAATGCAAATTTTTCGCTAGAACTTTCTAAAATTTCAAAAGAAAACTCGTATAAACAAAAAAAGTCTAGACATTTCCCTTTAAAAATTCACAAATATTATTTGAAAATTGAGCGAAAAAACGAGAAATTGTGCTTAATCCCTTTGTGAAAACAGGTAAAATGTGAGAGATTTGAAAGTTTTTTTCTTTTTTTTGTGAAATCTCCGAAATCGCACAGGAAAAGTGCAAAATTCGGTCAAAATTCTTATTTGGATTATGTGGGGTTATTGGAAATTTCTCCAAACTGAATATCATCAAAAAATGACGATTCTTTGTTATTCATAGAGCCATATAAAAGTGAAACAAATAAACAGAAAAAAAGCAAAAAGTTTTATAAAGAATGAATTGCATTTGGGTTACTGTATTCCTGATTGGCGCGATTCAGGCTTCACTGGAAGCTGTGGAGAGTACTGTGTCCACTACTTTATCCACTACTGTATCTACTACTGTATCCACTACACTACCCCCGATCGTTCCACCATTTGTACCGATTCGGAAAAGACAGGTTTGTGAAATTTTTCAGAATTTTTCAGTACTATCCTGAATATCTCAATAAGAATCTTTCCCTGAATATCTTTATATTCTGAATATTTTTTGAATATAGACCTGCTTAACGAGTCTGGGCAAAATTTTCAGACAGCCTGCCTTGCTCTTCGATTTTTTTACTGCTCAAAGCTTCTTTGAGCATGAAGCTCCAGTTCCCCCCGCAAGCCTTTATTTTAAGCTTCATTTTGATACTAAAAATAACTAGGTTCTGTTTTGTCATTCTTTAGATTTCGATCATTTTAGATCAAAAATTTTTCTAGACTTGTTAAGCTTATCGAGTCCGGTGAAAGATTGATCGAAATCTAAAGAATGACAAAACAGAACCTAGTCATGTTTAGTATCAAAAAGAAGCTTAAAATAAGGGCTTGCGGGGGGGAACTGGAGTTTTATGCTCGAAGGAGCTTTGAGCAGTAAAAAAATCGAAGAGCTAGGCAGACTGTCTGAAAATTTTGCCGAGATTCGTTAAGCAGATCTAGTTAAATGTAAACATTGAATGTTTTTCTTTTCTTTATTTGTTTAATTAAAAGTTTATTCAAAAATTATTGTAAAATCTTAAAAAATCTGTTAAAAATGAATGAAATTCGAATAAAATGAAAGTATAAAAGTTAGAAAATTAAAAAATAATTAAGAAATTTTAAAAAGATTACAAGAAAGTTAGAAAGAAGGGGAAGATGAAGAAGGGGAAGATGAAGAAGGGGAAGATGAAGAAGGGGAAGAGGAAGAAGGGAAAGAGGAAGAAGGGGAAGAGGAAGAAGGGGAAGAGGAAGAAGGGGAAGATGAAGGAGGGGAAGATGAAGGAGGGGAAGATGAAGGAGGGGAAGATGAAGGAGGGGAAGATGAAGAAGGGGAAGATGAAGAAGGGGAAGATGAAGGAGGGGAAGATGAAGGAGGGGAAGATGAAGGAGGGGAAGATGAAGAAGGGGGAAGATGAAGAAGGGGAAGATGAAGGAGGGGAAGATGAAGGAGGGGAAGATGAAGGAGGGGAAGATGAAGAAGGGGAAGATGAAGAAGGGGAAGATGAAGGAGGGGAAGATGAAGGAGGGGAAGATGAAGAAGGGGAAGAGGAAGAAGGGAAAGAGGAAGAAGGGGAAGAGGAAGAAGGGGAAGAGGAAGAAGGGGAAGATGAAGGAGGGGAAGATGAAGGAGGGGAAGATGAAGGAGGGGAAGATGAAGAAGGGGGAAGAGGAAGAAGGGAAAGAGGAAGAAGGGGAAGAGGAAGAAGGGGAAGAGGAAGAAGGGGAAGATGAAGGAGGGGAAGATGAAGGAGGGGAAGATGAAGGAGGGGAAGATGAAGATGGAGAAGAGAGAGATGAAAGCTAGAAAACGAATTTCGATTTGAATTTGCCTCAGAATTGAAAGTCTTGTCTTGATTTGAGAAAAATGAATTAAATAAAGGAAAAGAAAAGTTCTAGAGATTGGTTTCCTTTTCAATTACCCAATAAAGAAGAAAATTTCAATTGCTGATCCATCCGTCCCACCTCATTTCCCGTCTTCTCCACCGTTCCCCTTCTTCACTTTCTCAGCAATCTCTTTCTCTTGTTTCTTCATGTTTTTCCAAAACATTTCCATTTGTTTTTTCCTTTCCTCCATCTCTTTCTGAGCCTTATTATATTGAAAAGCTAAGCGCTGATGTGATTTGATCGATTCCCGCTCGATATTCACGAATTTCAAAAACTTTCTCAGCTTCTCATCCTCAAAAGCTTCCAATTGTTTCTTTTCGATCTTTTTCATAAGATGTTTTTTGTTTTCCTTTTCATAGCGCTCTCGTTGAAGTTGTGCTTCTTCTAGATGAAAGCTGCTTTCATTGATTTCCCGTTGACACTTTTGGAAACACTTCTCGGCATTATCTGCCTCAAGCTTCATCAATAAGGCTTCACTAAAAAGATTTATAATATTCAGATATTCAAGATACCGTAAACCCTACGTAGACGGGATACCGTAAACCATACGTAGACGGGATACCGTAAACCCTACGTCGACGGAATACCGTAAACCGTACGTAGACGGGATACCGTAACTACGGTATCCTGGTCTTGTCTTTTTCTGATCAACTACCGTCCCAGCTACCGTCCTAGCTACCGGCCCAGCTACCGTCCCAGCTACCGTAATCCAGCTAGATATAAGTTTATTCATCTCACAGCTGGCTGATATGGCTACGGTAGCAATTATAATCTATAAGAAGCAATAATCTAGCCGGGATTGAACCCTTAGCCTTTCGACTAAGAAACAGAGCTCTTAGCCAGTGGGCTATGGCGACCAGAATGGATAACTGACCTGAGCTCTTTTCCCGACATCCAGATGATCTTCTTGTCCTCAATGCGAGCGAACATTCCACAGAAAACTTTCTCCAACACTTTTTGCATCTCATTTTGCTGAAAATTGATGAGTTTTCGATCGATCGATGGAAACTTGCATAGCTTCTGCATAGCCCGGAAAAGCTAGCCGGGAAAGACAGACAAGATTACGGTAATAGACTTCAGTTCCGTCATGGTATCGATCGAAGCTTGCATAGCTTCATAGTCTAAACCCTGTCCCCTTTCTCTTTCTACCGTAATCTTGTCTCTATCTTTTATCTAATCTATTCACTTTTTTTCTGATGATAAAGGATATCAAAAGAAAGAAAAAGTGAATAGATTAGATAAAAATAGAGAAAAGATTACAGTGAAAAGAGAAAAAACACGGTTTAGAAACACTCACGTGCTTTATGCTTGCATGAACACAACCTTTCTGATGCACGGAGTTTTCCAGTGAGCCAGAAAGGATGTGTTTACCTATTTGAGCAAAAAGTACAAAGAGTTACCGTTGCCAGATGATCGAGGTGGACATAGGGCGGCAGTTTGCTTTGATCGTCGCAGAATTCATGGATCTTGACTTTATTGCAGTTGGCATCGAAAATGTTCAAGATGAGAATATTGGGTGATGTCGATGGTTTTCCATTTCCGTTCTTTGATTCTGTATTCACCATGATTCGCTCAATCGCCATCATCGGTCCTGAATTTTCCGAAATCTCGACGATTCCTTCTCTTTTTCCCGGATTCTCCATGTTTTCTCCTTTCACTTGTATCTAGAAATTCATAGAAATTAGCATCTTCTTTCATTTCAATATTGAAAACAATAGAAAACAGTTTACTTAAAAATAAATCAAAATCAAAGACTCCAAGCTACCGTAAGCTAGCCGGGAAAAGCTAGCCAGGAAAGACAGACAAGATTACGGTAATAGACTTCAGCTCCGTTATGGTACCGATCGAAGCTTGCATAGCTTCGTAGTCTAAACCCTGTCCCCTTTCTCTTTCTACCGTAATCTTGTCTCTATCTCTATCGCCGGGTACAATGGCCTTTCCTAAAGATGAGAATATTGGGTGATGTGGATGGTTTTAAAATTTTAAAATAAACAGTAAAATGTATGCTACAAAATTTTCAACTAAAGTACATTACGGTACGCTTCGAATTACGGTAAGAATAGGTTGGAGTACGGTAGCTTTTCTGCTTCTAAAACTTAAGAATACAAAAAGCTAAAGGTTTAAAGCTGACAAGATACAAATGAGGGAAAAATGGCAAGGCTTTCTTTCCTGAAAGGGAAAGAAAGGGGGAAGATGAAGAAGGGGAAGATGAGGAAGGGGAAGATGAGGAAGGGGAAGATGAGGAAGGGGAAGATGAGGAAGGGGAAGATGAGGAAGGGGAAGATGAGGAAGGGGAAGATGAGGAAGGGGAAGATGAGGAAGGGGAAGATGAGGAAGGGGAAGATGAGGAAGGGGAAGATCCGGAAGGGGAAGATGAGGAAGGGGAAGATGAGGAAGGGGAAGATGAGGAAGGGGAAGATGAGGAAGGGGAAGATGATGGAGGGGAAAATGAAGGAGGGGAAGATGAAAGAGGGGAAGATGAAAGAGGGGAAGATGAAGAAGGGGAAAGATTTGATTGGCGATATCAATGGATTTTGTTTGGCTTTGTTTTTGTCCCATCAATCGGGTTAGAGAAAGATTGAGAATTTGATGAAAACAAAGGAAAACAAATGAATTTCGCAATGTTGAAATTTTGGCTGTAAACAATTAAAAACGGTAGATGAAATGGAGAATTTCATAGAGTATGGGAAAGCTACAGTAACAAGGAAAAAAGCTACAGTAACAAGAAGCTAATCAACGTGAAACTTTAAACTTTGAACTTTAGAATTTAGTTTTTGAAACTTTTCCCTTAAGCTTTTTCAGTTTAGGTAGTGAATGGAGGTGTTCCTTGTCCGCCGATTGTCGTCGTGAATGGAGAAGCCAACTATATTCAAGGTGAAAAGCAGGAGAGATAAGAAAGCTAGATAGATCTAGCTTTCTAGATTCTAATTACAATCTAAAGATCATACTTTCGTTATTGCATATAATTCTACTGTTAATAGGCTTGATAATAGAAACAGATTGGTATCAATTTCAATTGGCGCCTGTAAACAAGTGAAAACAAAGTCAGAGCTGTTATTGTCTTGATTCAGGAGCTTTTTATAGCCAGATTATGTCAAGATCAAGTCAAGAACAAGTCAAGAACAAGTCTAACTATCCTGTAAGGCATGACTATTCTGACGTTGGTGTTGGTGTAGTGCATTGGTAAAAGCTTAGTAAACGAGAGCTGAGTGCGAGGTGGTGGCGGATTCTAATCCCGGCACCGACCATAGTATTCCACCGATAAACGGCGTATTTAACTAACCTACTATCAATATTAAGAAAACAGGCTTTATGAAGACTGTAAACACGAGTATTTAGCTTCTCTAACCCAACAATATTCCTCGGGCACCTCGGCGACAATCACCTGTAACCTTGGTTTCATCATTAATGGAGCAGCGACGGTGAATTGTGCAAATGGGGGCTGGCTTCCATTACCCGGTATCACAACTAATAACATTTCTTTAGTCAATTATTTAAAACAAAAACCATTTTCAGGTACTTGCACGCCAACAACAGCGCCGGGTCTTCCCGGTCTTCCCGGTCTTCCCGGCTTGCCAGGCATTCCACCAATCGGTCTACCGGTGCCTGGTGGGTAAATTTACAAAATCCACCTTTTCTAGTGCATTAAATTTCGCATTTCAGGAGCTCTTCCTTGTGGCGATATTCTGGTGCCATTGAATGGAGCGGTCACCTACACTGGTGGCACGGGTACAGGTGAGAAAATCGATTCGGGTAGCTTCAGCCTTCTACCGTCACCCAGTCAATCCCAAAATCGACTACCGTATTTTCCCCTAATAGTAGTGCACCCTGAGCGTCACCTAAATTCCTCGAAATCTCGAAAAGCGCTTATCAAAATCGATGATCGATGAAAATGTAGCTAACGATCTTGTGGGGGATTAAAGTGTTGACCTTAGAAAGCTCTGGGAAAGCTTAGAAAGCTCTGGGGAAAGCTTAGAAAGCTTAGAAATATCTGGGAAAGCTTAGAAAGCTCTGGGGAAAGCTAAGAAAGCTCTGGGGCAAGCTTAGAAAGCTCTGGGGAAAGCTTAGAAAGCTCTGGGGAAAGCTAAGAAAGCTCTGGGGAAAGCTAAGAAAGCTCTGGGGCAAGCTTAGAAAGCTCTGGGGAAAGCTAAGAAAGCTCTGGGGAAAGCTAAGAAAGCTCTGGGGCAAGCTTAGAAAGCTCTGGGGAAAGCTTAGAAAGCTTAGAAAGATCTGGGAAAGCTTAGAAAGCTTAGAAAGCTTTGGGGAAAGCTTAGAAAGCTCTGGGAAAGCTTAGAAAGCTTAGAAACTGTAAAATCGTCATTAACTTGGCTCAAAAGAAAAAGCATAAGAAAACACAAAAGAAAACTCAAAAGAAAAGCTATCTAATTTTCTCAGCGCCCGGTGCACTCCATCCATCGGCTTCATCGGTGACTTTAACCTGTAATGGTGGCCATGTGCTTCAAGGAACAGCCACCTCAATCTGCACGAATGGACTCTGGAATCCACCGTTGCTCGGTAGGAATTAAAGGCTTTAGATATTCAACAAAAATATCAATCAATCTTTCAATTTCATTTTCAGGTAATTGTCCATAAAGTGTTCAAAGTTTTGACTCAACGAAAAACTCGAAATCTCATTTTTTTTCTTTTCTCATTTTTTTTGTGCCACTTTCTATACTTTTATATACGTAGAAATCTAGTTTTTTTAAATGTTTTTCAATAAATTTTACTTTTAAACACTTTTATTTCAATTGAATTGAATTGAATTGAGTCAATAAAGTCAATAAAGAATGAATTGACAAAATTCAATTCAATTTAATTCAATTCAAATCTTTTGTCTCAATGGTTTTAATCGAATCGGCAAAAATAACATTGCAATTGATCGATAGACAAGATAAATGATTAGAATGAAAAGGAAAATCACAAAGAAAAGACGAGGAACGAAGAGAACCTATCGATGTGTGATCGGAAAATGTAGCTGACGATGAGACCTTGTGGGGGGGTTAGAGAGTTGAGCTTCTGCGAAAACTTAGAAACTGTAAAATAGTCGCGAACTCGGCTCGCCCGGATGCTACTATTAGAGAAAATAAGCATTTTTAGACTTTGGACCTCTATAAAAAATTTTCTACCAAACCAAATGAGCTGAAATTTGTTTTATGATATAAAATTCATATATTTTGCACATCTTTTATTTTGGTATCAAGTCGGTTTGTCTTTTAAAGATCCCTTAGTTCGTAAAATATCGTATTCTCTCTAATAGTAGTGCATCAAGAGAGTCGCCTGAATTCCTCGTAATCTCGAGAATCGCTTATCAGAACCTATCGATGTGCGGTCGGAAAATGTAGCTAACGATGAGATCTAGTGGGGGATTTGAGTGTTGAGCTTTTGCAAAAGCTTTGAAACCGTAAAATAGTCGCCAACTCGGCTCGGTAGTGCACCCTAAGCGTCGCCTAAATTCCTCGTAATCTCGGGAACCGCTTATCAGAACCTATCGATGTGCGGTCGGAAAATGTAGCTAACGATGAGATCTAGTGGGGGATTAGAGAGTTGAGCTTCTGCGAAAGCTTGGGAACTGTAAAATAGTCGCGAACTCGGCTCGCTCGGGTGCACTACTGTTAGAGAAAAAATTCAATAAATTTTTCTTTTAAACACTTTTATTTCAATTGAATGGAGTTGAATTCAATTTTATTTCAATTTAATTCAATCCAATTCAATTCAAATCTTTTGTCTCAATGGTTTTAAGCGAATCGGCAAAAATAACATTGCAATTGATCGATAGACAAGATAAATGATTAGAATGAAAAGGAAAATCACAAAGAAAAGACGAGGAACGAAGAGCAAATCGATTTGCGGAGTTTCATCCAATGACTAGAATTTGATCTTTATTGACTCAAATTTTGGCTCGAATTTGGCTCAAATTTTGTAAACAACTCCTTTCTAGTGCCTTTAATTCTTTAATTCTTTCTTTTTACATGTTGTACATCGATTTAACATCGATTTAAATGCGTTTTCTATCAGTTAGTGCACTATTTAACGTGAAAAAGTGAGCTGATTTCCAATTTGATCATGATGTATTGGGTTGATGGAAAAGTCCTTTCCGATTTTTTGGGAGAGTACCTTAAATTTGTCCAATTTTGACGTTTTATAGCTCATCCTAAAGCTGAATTCAAGACGAATCGATTGGTAAAAGCCGTTTTGAGATATCTCTTTTCTAAAAGCTTTTACAGCTATTTTAGTGAAGGGAAATATTGTCACCGGTGGAAGTCGAACCAGCGACCCTCAGATCAATAGCCTTTGCGCCGCTTTTCGCGTTTTTTCCTTCGTTTTTCTCGTTTTTTTTTTATGTACCCTAAAATTTACCATAATAACTTACGTTTACGCTTACGAAAACAAGAAAACGAAGGAAAAAACGCGAAAAGCGGCGGAAAGGCTATTGATCTGAGGGTCGCTGGTTCGACTTCCACCGGTGACAATATTTTTCAAAAATTTTTGCTAAGATTCTGAGAATGCGTGTCTAGGGGTTATTTTTGACGCTGATCACGAAACAAATGTTTTTAGCCTAGGTTTCTGCACGGAAAACTAACGAAACGTGAAAACAGCCATTTTTTGGCTCTGCCGCCCTTCACTAAAATAGCTGTAAAAGCTTTTAGAAAAGAGATATCTCGCAAACGGTTTTTACCAATCGATCCGTCTTGAATTCAGCTTTAGGATGAGCTATAAAACGTCAAAATTCGACAAATTTAAGGTACTCTCCCAAAAAATCGGAAAGGACTTTTCCATCAACCCAATACAAAAGATTGAAAGTTAAGCCGGATTAAGTATGCTTTAGAGTAGTTGTTTGAGTTGATACTTTTACTTTTTCCTTTACTTTTTCCTTTACTTTATTTCTAGTTAAGATTCTTTACTTAAAACACACTCCTTCCAATTTAGTTTAGATCTTTACGATTAACGGCGCAAGGTAGTGATTATCAGCAAAGGCCAATTTTTCCCCCAACTTGCTGCTCATTTTTAAGCACTTTAAACTCATCAGATCAGAAATTTTTAATAAGATTTAGATAGCTTAGAACGTTAACTTTTAGAAACTATTTGTTTTATCAAAAGTTATTAACATAAACCTATCTAAAATCGGGTTGCAAAATGGACAAAAACTCGGCCTCGCCGATAGTCGCTACCCCCGCCATTAACCGTAAAGTGCTTGTGAAATCAAGAAATTAAACGATCAAGTGAACCAAAAAGAATGCGTTTACAAAGTTTCGCACAAAGTACACAATAGTTTACCTGATTTTCCACTTCAGTTTCCGTTTTAATCGGCCAAGAAATCAATGAGATCGTTATAATCGCCGCTAGTAGATTTAATCCAACAATTGATGGCCTAAACTTGTTAATAATGTAAGAATTGATGGTAGATTTTAATGAGAGATCTTAATGAAAGATTTTAGTGAGAGATTTTAGTGAGAGATCTTAATGAAAGATCTTAATGAAAGATTTTAATGAAAGATCGTAATGAAAGAACTTAATGAGAGATCTTAATGAAAGATTTTAGTGAGAGATCTTAATGAAAGAACTTAATGAAAGATCGTAATGAAAGATCGTAATGAAAGATCGTAATGAAAGATCGTAATGAAAGATCTCAACGAAAGAACTTAATGAAAGAACTTAATGAAAGATCTTAATGAGAGATCTTAATGAAAGATTTTAGTGAGAGATTTTAGTGAGAGATCTTAATGAAAGATCTTAATGAAAGATCTTAATGAAAGATTTTAATGAAAGATCGTAATGAAAGATCTCAATGAAAGAACTTAATGAAAGATTTTAATGAAAGATCTTAATAACAATTTTTGAATCTGTGCTCTTACATTCCCTTTGTTCTCCCAGCGACAATGCATCCGAATATCGTTAAACACCATAAAGTGCTCAAAATCACTACACCAAAACCTACGCCAAAAACAAGCATTGCAGGAGATTAAGAATTTGCATTTAATAAATTAATACTTTTAAGTCAAAAAGAATAGAGAATGAATCTTTTAGCGTAACCATGGCAACTGTTGTCCCAGGATCGCCAATAATCTGTGTAGCCAATATGAAAGCCAATATGAAAGCCAATATGAAAACTTAACTTGAAAATGTTTCAAATTACTTAAATTTTGTTATAAATTTTTTTATATTTACATTTTCTAGAACATTTTAAACCTAATTGAGTGAGAAGAATGAAGGAAATGAAAAGTTTTGTAAAGGAAAGCACGATAAAGATTGTTTTAATAAAATCGTGCTATGTTTTCATTACATAATAATTTCTTATACTTTTTCTATGTTAAAATTATAAACAAATTCTTGTTTAAACTACCGTATTTTCTCTAATAGTATTGCTCTCTAAGCTTCCCCTAAATTCCTCGTAATCTCGAGAATCGCTTATCAGAACCTATCGGTGTGAGGTCGGAAAATGTAGCTGACGATGAGATCTAGTGGGCGATTTGAGTGTTGAGCTTCTGCGAAAACTTAGAAACTGTAAAATAGTCACCAACTCGGCTCGCCCGGGTGCACTACTATTAGAGAGAATACGGTATGTAGTTGGCTAGATGACCGAATGGTTAGGAGTCTTGTCTCTTAAGCGAAAGGTCAAGGGTTCAATACTAGCAAAATAAAAAGGTTTCTTTTTTCCTGGGTTTTTTTCTTTCGCAACATTTAGGGTAATAGGGATAACAGCCGGATTTTTTATTTGTAAGAAAACTTATTTTCGCCTTATACCGTGATCGATGTGCCCCCACCCCAAGCAAAGAAAAATTACTATGGGTGGGCGGGGGGCAATCGAGGCAAATCTGTAGAGGAAAGGAACCAAATTGTGTGTTTAAACCTTTGTGTCTTGTTTTGTTAATTCTTTGTTTGTATCACATTATTGGTTTTCAATAAATCGATTTTCTTTATCATAAATCAAACTTTCATTACTTTATAAGAAATAAGCTTTTTCTTGAGTGTTCAGTGCTTTCATTTGAATCATCATTCGTTTGATAGTATAACTTTTAAATTCAAATGACAAAACCAAAAATTTAGACTAATTACAGTAGCCTTGAACTAAATGGATTTTAAATGATTTAGACTTAAATTTCTATTCATCTGAATTGCTTTACTTTAAGATATCTTTTGAATTCAAATGATGGAGCTTAATAAAAAGCTTTGGATCAGTTACAACCTACTGTAAATGGATTTTAAATCATTTAGACTTGAATTTCTATTCATCTGAATCGCTTTACTTTAAGATATCTTTTGATTTCAAATGATGGAGCTTAATAATAAGCTTTGGATCAGTTACAACCTACTGTAAATGGATTTTAAATGATTTAGACTTGAATTTCTATTCATCTGAATCGCTTTACTTTAAGATATCTTTTGATTTCAAATGATGGAGCTCAATAATAAGCCTTGGATCAGCTACAGCCTATTGTAAAGCCTACTGTAGCTAATGCATCTTTGTAGGGGCACCACATGCATTCGAGAGGCTGTGTGTGCTGTTGGGGATTGGTCGGATTGATGAAGTTTTTCGAATGATTAACCCAATTGAAATTTTAGTTTGGACTGTCAGCCAATTGACGATAGCTATATTTTCATATTCCTATATTCCTATATTCCTATAGCTATATTCCCATAGCTATATTCCAACCATCCGAAACAATTGTGTAAACCAGCAGTGCTTTTCGAATTCACCGATTAGAGTTGAAGCTTTGAGATCGGGAAGCAAAACTGTAAATGGATTTTAAATCATTTAGCCTTAAATCTACACTCACTGGATAGCGTGTGCTTGTCGTTTACGCTGCGGATCATCGACCGTATCCCGCTCGGAAACGCGGCGCACTGCGTCGCGTCTTGGCGCTGTCTCGAATCGATTCGGCCTCTTTCCCCGCTTCTTTCCCCCACATTCACTTCCTCATATTTCTTTTTATTATTTTAAAAGCTGAACAAATTTTCTCTAATCGATTCCTCCTCTTTCCCCGCTTCTTTAACACATTTAGATCCACATTTAGATCTTTTTTTAAATGCCAGATAGACTTTTGAATTTTTTTTACATTTTTTTATTGTATTCATTTCCTTAACAACTTCAATTTTTATTTCAAAACCTTTCAGAACTAATTTCTCAAGAATGTCTGACGGAAAAGTGTATGTGGGCGGACTTCCGCACGATGCAACTTCTCAAGAGGTAAAGAAAAGTTTATGTGGATAGTTTTCTAAGAAAATTGAAATCCCAAAGCTTTTAGAGAGCTTGAAAAGTAATTGGATTTTTGATTGGATGAGATTTGGATTGAAATTTGTTTATTTCATTCATTTAGATATAGAATTCGATAATAATTTCTTATTTTCTAGATTGAGGACGCTTTCTATCGCTATGGCCGCATCAGAAAAGTTTGGGTGGCGCGTCGCCCGCCGGGTTTCGCTTTTGTTGAGTTCGAGGATCTTCGTGATGCCGAGGACGCGGTTAGGGCAATGGATGGAGCGTGAGTTTATTCTAAAACATTTCATATCAATTCAGTAGATTTGGCTTTGATTTATATTTCGTTAATTGTCGATTCCTTTTTTTTGCCGTTGGCAATTTCTGGTTTTTCATGTTTTTCTCAGCACCAATCCTTCGACTTTGACTCTTTTAACTATCATTCGATTCAGAATAAAATTCTGCGTCGAATGATACCAAAATGAACTCAAAATATAATATTCATGCAAAGTTATGAGGCAAAGGTTAAGCGCCGCCCATAATGGACGTGGTTTAGGTTCTTAAGCCAATAACTCTGCATGGGTATTATATTTTGAGTTCATTTTGGTATCATTCGACGCAGAATTTTATTCTGAATCGAACGATAGTCAAAAGAGTCAAAGTCGAAGGATTGGTGCTGAGAAAAACAGGAAAAACCTTACCGATGCCGAAGAAAGATGTGGAGCTTCAATTCACAGCCTTAATAATGGAATTAATCAAGAATTCCTTGGATAGCTCCAATCAAGTCTAAAGAATTCCTTGCTTTTAGTCGAATCTGCGGTGTGCGTGCCCGTGTCGAGCTCTCACATGGTCGTGGACGTCCCGGCGGCGGTGGTGGTGGTGGTGGTGGTGGTGGAGGTGGACGACGAGATGGAGGACGAGATGGAGGACGAGATCATGGATCGTCTCGTCGCAGGTACAACAATTTAAACAGGAGAAGCACGGGTGCAAGTGATTGTACAGAGCAAAAGTGTTGATGGCTTTCCTTGCAAGGATTGCAGGTAGAGCTCGGATAACTTTTGCAAACCGTACAATCACCGCCCACTAGATGTTGTGAGCATTGAGAGCATTGGCGCGACATTCTCGATAGGCATAAGAACGAAATAATCGAGCTGATTTTGCAGCCGCTTCATTCATCTCCCCAACTCCCACTCTTCCTCCTCCTCCTCCTCTTGCAGCTCATCGATCGCCCAAACTGCCAGCTGCGCAAATCGGCCACACACTTTCCATGAACTAGTCACATAGGCCTAGATTGAGTTGTTAGAGTTTTAAGTTGAGAATTTAGCTTTAGGGATTTGGATTGGATCGGTTAAGCTGAATGTATTTTACAGAATTGTCAATTTAGTACTCGAGTTCGTCGAATATATGTATTGAAAAGGTTGGTCGCTAACGACAGAGCGCCAAAACGACAGAGAACTGATTTTAAGTTGAGATTCCCTGGGATCGGCGGGTCTGATCGGTATCACTCTAATGACTCTAGCAAGGAAGGAAACAAGTAAATAAGTCTAAGTACTGATTTTAAAACTTGTAAGTGCTGACAATGAGATAAGGCCCTATAGTTAACTCTCTTTTCGAGTAAGGGAGATCAAGGATCGGCACCGGGATTCGAACCCGCCGGCTGGCTCTAGCTTTCGCTTACTGGGCGAGCACTCTACCAATAAGCTACAGAGCGCGAGAGTAGTTAACTCCCTCTGAAGGCAAGGGGTGGTCAAGTGGGCTGTGGTGTAATGGTTAGCACAGTCGGCTAGTAAGCGAATGGTCGGGGGTTCGAGTCCGGGTGACGCGCAGGTTTTTGTTTCGCCAGTTTTTGATCTAGTTCCAACTGTCGAACACGTAGAGGATTAAAGGTTCGCATCTGTCGCCAGTTGGAACAGGTGCAAAGCTTTAAACTTCTACGTCGTCGCCAGTTGGAACTAGATCAAAAACTAGCGAAACAGAAAACCTGGGCACCACCGGGACTCGAACCCGCGATCATTCGCTTACTAGCCGACTGTGCTAGCCATTACACCACAACGCACTTGACCACCCTCCCTTTAGAGAGAGTTAACTACTCTCGCGCTCTGTAGCTCATTGGTAGAGTGCTCGCCCAGTAAGCGAAAAGCTAGAGCCAGCCGACGGGTTCGAATCCCGGTGCCGATCATGTTAAGTCCCAAAGGACAAACGTCCAACATCAACACTAGAGACCTTAGCATTCATGGAAAGTGTGCACGGTTCGGGTTTGTCGTCCCATCCTTCTGTTCGTCCCCACTACTGTCGGGCAACAATCCTCGCAATCTTCGCCGCTTCTCACCCCACTCACCCAACCATTCATCGCAAAAAGTGTTCTCCACCTCTCCGCGCTTCTTCCTCATCTCCTCCTCCTCTCAATTCTCTTCCCCCTCCACACAAATGAATCCACCTTTCTCATGCTCTCCTCCAAATTTTTCAACCCAACCCTTCTCGTCAGGTTTGTCCAAATCAAGGGATTTTTCACCTTTGATAAGATTTGGACTTATCATGGAGCAAGCTTCATAATCGTTTAAAACAAAAAAAACTGTTTTCAGTTTTGCTAAACGATTGTGAGAAGTTTTTCAAGCTTTCTTTAACCAAATCGATCCATTTGCAGATCTCGTACTCGCTCTCGTTCTCCACGTCGATCACGCAGTCGTTCACGCACTCGTAGCCGCTCTCCACCACCAAAGAAAGGAGGATCGCCACCGGAGCGTCGCAGCAAGTAAGATCTGATGAGAATTCAATAGAAATAGAATACAAAATACTTTGTGACAAACTAAAGTACTTTTCTTTTTGTTAGCTGATTTGTATATAGAATTAGAATCGAGTTACAGTAAGCTATTGATTAAATCTTAGGTTCAGCGTTTAACTCTAGGCCTTAAGCTCTAGGCCTTAAGCTCTAGGCCTTAAGCTCTAGGCCTTAAGCTCTAGGCCTTAAGCTCTAGGTCTTAAGCTCTAGGTCTTAAGCTCTAGGCCTTAAGCTCTAGGCCTTAAGCTCTAGGTCTTAAGCTCTAGGTCTTAAGCTCTAGGCCTTAAGCTCTAGGCCTTAAGCTCATCAATTAGCTTTGAAAGTTGAGCAATTCAACAATCAAATACATCTTTTAATACCCTAGTCAAAAGGGAATAACTTTTAAATAAAACTCTAAATGATTTAAAAAAGAAAAGCTCGTCTTTAAATGACATTCTACTTAGAGAGAAATGTTCTGATGAAGAAATCATGTACGTGAATTGCAATGATATCAAAGAGAAAGATACAGAAAAAGTTGAACCAATAAAAGTCTTTTTATAATCATTTCTAACATTGATGTCGCAAAAAAAAGCACTCTCATTTTAAGAAAATTTTCATTTTCGACATCAATCGTCTGAAAAATTTGAGTTAAAGGCAAGATTTATTACCGTAATTCGTGTCTATTTTTATTCAATCTATTCACTTTTTATCTGATTTGGTGCCAAAGAATGTTAAAAGATAGAAAAAGTGAATACCGTATTTCCTCTGCACCCGGGCGAGCCGAGTTGGTGGTTATTTTACAGTTTCCAATTTTTCCCAGAAGCTCAACCTTCTAATTCCCCAGTAGATCTCATCATCAGCTACACTTTTCAACCCCACATCGATAGGTTTTGATAAGCGGTTCTCGAGATTACGAGGAATTTAGGCGACTACTAGAGTGACTATCAGGGTGCACTACTATTAGAGAGAATAAGGTAGATGAATTAACAATTGGCTGTGATTGAGTTCAAATGGTCGGGATCTTGTTTGAACAATCATCAAGCAAAGTATAATACCGTATTCTTTCTAATAGTAGTGCACCCGGGCGAGCCGAGTTGGTCACTATTTTACGGTTCCCAAGCTTTTGCAAAAGCTCAACCCTCTAATCCCCCACTAGATCTCATCGTCAGCTACATTTTCCGACCTCACATCGATAGGTTCTGATAAGCGATTCTCGAGATTACGAGGAATTTAGGCGACTCTCTGGGTGCACTACTATTAGAGAAAATACGGTAGATTGAATAAAAAAATAGACAAGATTACGGTAGAATGAGAAAGCAGACATTAGAAAACGAATTGAGAGAAAAGGATCATTCTTAGGGACTACAGGCTTTTTTCCTAAGCAATTACTGTATCTAAGGGATTTTAGGAAACATATTGATTAAAAGGGTCATTCTATGAACTACGGGCCTTTTCCCTAAACGATTACTGTATCTAAGGGATATTTGGAACAGATTGATAAAAGGGTCATTCTATGAACTACGGGCCTTTTCCCTAAACGATTACTGTATCTAAGGGATATTTTAGGAACAGATTGATTAAAAGGGTCATTCTATGAACTACGGGCCTTTTCCCAAACGATTACTGTATCTAAGGGATTTTTAGGAAACAGATTGATTAAAAGGGTCATTCTATGAACTACGGGCCTTTTCCCTAAACGATTACTGTATCTAAGGGATATTTTAGGAAACAGATTGATTAAAAGGGTCATTCTATGAACTACGGGCCTTTTCCCTAAACGATTACTGTATCTAAGGGATATTTTAGGAGACAGATTGATTAAAAGGATCATTCTTAGGGACTACGATTCTTTGGGATTCTTAGGGACTCTTAGGGACTTTTTTCCTAAGCAGTTACTGTAAATAATGCACATTGAAAACAGACTACTCAATAGGAACAAAGGTTACAATAAATTTGCATATTAAAGTCAAATATCTCGATCTGAATGCATTATTTCCTTCATTTTCAGCTCTCGCTCTCGTTCTCGCTCACATAGCTGAAGAAAATGGAACAAAATTGGAACATTGGAACATTGGAACATTGAAAACACTTCTTTATTGAATATTTCTTGTAAAATTTCCCTTTTCGATTCAAAATTCCGGTAGCTATTTTTATTTTTTGTTTTAACTTTAAGAAATTCTTTTTTTTCATTTATTTCATTGTTTGCTATTTGTCCAAAAACAACTTTTCTTCATTTAACTTAAAAAAAACAAACGATTTTTGTTCAGATCTCTTGAATAAATTGTATTTGGAAGTAGCATTTCTATAATAATTAGCAAAAAAAACAACTACAAGATTAAGGTAAGACTGATGTTGATCTAGAGTCAGATCGAGTACAGAGTACAGTTGAAAAATAGCTCAGATTAAGCTATAGGAGATTCATTACAAGTTGCTAAAAAGGGGATTGAGAGATTGAGAATCAAACCGACAAATGAAACAGCTCGAGTACAGTCTATACTTCTATACTTTTTAGAAAACTCGATTGGTTTGATGAAAACACTTACAAGGGGATGCGATAAAATGGTGGTAACAGATTTTGACGCCGTTGAGATGCAAACGCCTATCGGACATCTCCTTACAATGAGGTTTATCACAATTTGCAAAGCCTATATCGAAACAAACTTGAATCGGGGTTTCGAAAGGAAGTGGGCGAACTTGGTGAAGACCTGAATCAAATCATGCATAAGGACGAAAATCTATGAAGCAATGAGCCGAAAATTGTAGTATGTAGTAAATAAATAGACTTTTAATTATTGATAGTAAGCACTTTAGTAACCATAAAATGGTTTTCCCTTATTTTTTAAAAGAAAACAAAAGTCTTTCCAGGAGTGGTTCCGAACCGAAAAAAGGAAAAGCAAGATTGGGTACGCGCAATTACAACGGAAAAGCGAAATTTGATGGTTACTTTGATGGCTTTATGCCAAATCTCTTCGTTGTGCACCAATTGAAAATCAGATCGATAAATGACACAGCTTTAGTCGGTACCATTTTAAAATCCGTTTACAATCGATATGAAATCTTGGATACGGTCAGGATACGAAGTCCAAAAGTCCAAAAGTCCAAAAGTCCAAAAGTCCAAGAAGCCAATTATCCCTTTTCCAATCCCTTTTCCAATCCCTTTTCCAATCTCTTTTCCAATCCCTTTTCCAATCCCTTTTCCAATCCCTTTTCCCATCCCTTTTCCAATCCCTTTTCCAATTATCCAATTATCCCTACAATTTTTACTTGATAATTTGTAATTGTTTAGTCTAAATGTTGTAAAAGTTCATTGAAACTGAGGATTACGGTAGCCTATCCACGAAGTTGAGAACAATTTACCCTTGAAATCAACTCGCTAATCGGTGATGAGCAAACAGAAAAGACTGATAAAGAAAAAGCGAGACTGGAAATGAGTGGGGGTGGGAGATTCCCATGAAGAAAGAATGAAAACTGTAAATGATGGAAAGCCAAAGTCAATATTCAATTGGAAACAGATGATAGCAAGTGATAAACTCTGATTTCCTCTTTTTCAATTCGTTTTTTTCATTTCAAAACTTTTAAATCCATTTATGTTTACTTTGTGTTTTTCCCCTGTCGATCCGATTCTTAACGTTATTGCTCAGGATTGCACGAATGTTTTAAACACCAATTTTAACCGATCTGCTCCCATTCTTGGCTCAGAATCCCCAAGTAAATTACGTAAAACGTTAATGCTCAGGATTGCTCATGGTCAAGAAATGGAAACTTGATGGTCCTAATGGAGAGATCTACGAAAGGATTCGATTTATTGTAGGACAAGGCACTTTAGAGGAGGTATTATAATGTGCTGGGCTGGCTTTTGTGCTGACGGACAAGTCGATTTGGTAGATCGTTTCTAATCGAATGACTGGATTACACGAATGTTTTGGACACCGATCTGCTCCCATTCTTGGCTCAGAATCCCCAAGTAAATCACGATTTCCAGCAGGAAAATGCTAGCATTCGTAAAGCCAATCATACCAAGAAATGGATGAAACAAAAACAAAAGAATAGCCGCTTAGCTTTTGCTCAAACACAAATGGTCAAGAGTTGGACGAGAAGAAATGGATGACGGCTAATGGATTGATTTCGATGAATTGGCTAAGTCGATCGCTTGAGCTCAACCTCATTGAGAACTTTTGGGGCATCTTGGTTTGGCAAGTTTACAAAAACCGACCCCAGTTTTTATCTGTTGCTGATCTTAAATTCGCTATTCGGCTTGCTTGAAACAATTTGGATTAAAACGTTTTACAAAACCACATTTCTTCAATGCCAAAACGATAATCCAGTTCAAGAAAATCGGTGCCAACTTTAAGCAAATGAAGGCTGATCCAACTCGGGTGTCATTTCACCTTGTTTACATGGAAATGAAAAATCCAATCAAGCTCTATTTGGTATTATTTGAAAGGCTGAAATGTGCTCTATAAAATGAAATAAAAAGTTAAAGAACAAAATTATCTCTGGAAAAAGTGATAGCCCTTGAAAGAGTGATTCAAAACTCGAGTGTCGTTTCACCATTTTTCAATTTTTTTTTTTTTCATTTCAAAAAACTTTTAAATTCATTTATGTTTACTTTGTGTTTTTCCTCTGTCGATCAGATTCTTAACTTTATTGCCGATAAAAATGTTGCCGATACTTTCAGCTATACGTTATTGCCGATACTTTCAGCTAATTCCTAAATTGCGCTTATTTCTATCGTATTTATGATGTTAGTTTACTATCAATTAACCCAATTTTTGGTATCATTCGATGCCGAATCACAAGGCAAAGTCAATGAAATAAAAGTTAAGCTAATCGCATGGAAGCTGCCGGTAAAACTAGTCGATCTATTGATAGTAGTGATCTTGTGGGATAGCTGAATGACAGTAGCTCATCGATTTTGTCATTTAGAATGCGGTTACAAAGCTATTGATTAAATCTTGGGTATGGCAGGTTGTCCAGGATTTAGGCACAGGGTACGGTAGGTAATCTAAGCCTTAGGCTCATCAATTAGATTCAAAATTGAGCCAAAATTGAGCCAAAATAGAACAAAAATTGAGCCAAAAACTGAATGACAGTAGCTGATCGTTTTTGCCATTTAGAATCCGGTTACAGTAAGCTATTGATTAAATCTTAGATATGGCAGGTTGTCCAGTATTTAGGCTCAAGGTACGGTAGCTTTAAGCTCATAGGTTAGCTTCAAAATTGAGCCAAAATTGATCCAAAATTGAGCCAAAAACTGAATGACAGTAGCTGATCAATTTTGTCATTTAGAATCGGGTTACAGTAAGCTATTGATTAAATCTTAGCTGCGTTAGGTTGTCCATGATTTAAGCACAGGGTACGGTAGGTAATCTAGCCTCAATTTTGGCTCAATTTTGAATCCAACTGATGAGCATCAGTTAGATTCAAAATTGAGCCAAAATAGAACAAAAATAGAGCAAAAATAGAGCCAAAATAGAGCCAAAATAGCTTTCCAGAAAGCAAAACCAGGCTTATTTTGCGTAGCATGTATTTGATTTAAAATTGCACTAAAGAAAAAGGGAAATTTGATAAACCTGGGTAAAGCCGTGGGCTTTTGAGTTGGATTTTCTTTGAATCAAGTCGCTAGCAAATCTTCCTACCGTAGTCAGCTCACAAAACAACAATCGCAGCAATCCTTTTGTCCAAATCTCTTTCTTTCCCTTTTACCCTTTCTCAAGAACGATTTCCGAAAGCCAATTTCACGCATTTCGTTTCTCATAAAAAGGCGACCGCGCGGCGCCTTTTCCCCACTTTTTACCGCAGTTTTTCTACACCAATTCCTTTTTTTGAGTTCTTTTTTTCTTGGTTGAGTGACCACCTGTTCATCGTTCCTTTCGAGGACATCTCAATCAGAATTTTTCTAGGAGTTTCCGGAGTTTTGAAATTGTTTTTAGGCTTTTAATAGCTATAACTTTTCTTCTTGTATTCGCGTACCTTGTTTTCCATGTTGATTTACATGATTTTGAAAGTTTTGAGAACAAATTTCCTTGAAAACAAAACAATCTCCTTGAAACTTTTAGCTACTCCACCAAAATATGTGAAATGTGTTGCCGACTGCTCACTTCTTTTCTCTATTTCTTTCTTTTTCTTCATTTGGTTTACTCGTCGATCGATTTCGAAACCGAAGAAAATCGATATGGATTGTCGATTCCAAAAGATGCGAAACATCGACCGGAAGTTTTGAATCGAGTGGATGAGTTGAGGGATCAGGTAGAGGACTGGATGAGTTGAGGGATCAGGTAGAGGACTGGATGAGTTGAGGGATCAGGTAGAGGACTGGATGAGTTGAGGGATCAGGTAGAGGACTGGATGAGTTGAGGGATCAGGTAGAGGACTGGATGAGTTGAGGGATCAGGTAGATGACTGGATGAGTTGAGGGATCAGGTAGAGGACTGGATGAGTTGAGGGATCAGGTAGAGGACTGGATGAGTTGAGGGATCAGGTAGAGGACTGGACAATGAAATATCATGTTTAAAAAACGATCGTCACTTTCGCGCGTCTGTAACTCCGTTGTCTTTGAGTTTAAACTATTAGTGTTATACATTTTCTGAAAGCTCTTTTCAAGGGCTACACAATGGTAATTATTGATATTTAGAAATACGGTAAAGACAAGGGAGTTAGAGACGCGCGAAAGTGACGATCGTTTTTCAAATCTAATATTTCATTGTCCAGTAGTGTAGTTTACGGTAGTTTTTCAAATTATTCTAGAGTAAACTAGTTTTCTAGTTGTCTAGACTAAACTCTAGTTGTCTGAGCTTCTGAACTTAAAATGAAAATCTAATCAACTGTAGTTTGCGAATAATCTAGCCGGGATTGAGGCCTTGATCTCTCGACTAAAATAGGCTCTTAGCCAGCTTTATATAGGCTCTTAGCCAGCTTTATATAGGCTCTTAGCCAGCTCTTAGCCAGCCACAAGCTTTTTTTGAGCAGGGCAATTAGATTCCCTAATTGATCTCTGTTCAGGGATCATTGCTTTTCGGTGATGTGCCAGAGAATCGGTGTTTCTGCAGTTACGGGCACGAGGCGGGGGTTTGCGATCGAAACGAAACGTGCATCAAGCACCCATTGGCCGCCTGTTATCACGCGATCGAATTGGTGAGTTATAGTGGCGAGCGAGCGAAAAGTTTTGCATTGCATTAATCTTCATTTTTTGTGTACATTGGCTAACTTTAAAGATCTGAAATTGCTAAGAAAATGAATTTTGGCCCAAAAAAATTTGAAATTTGAAATTTGAAATTAAAAATACCTGAAAAAACTGAATTTTAAGTAAGATTTTGTAAAAAGTTTTCACAAAAAAGTGATATAAAGTCCAAAAGAGGTAGTGTGTTAAAATTTGATTTCGCTAGGGCTTTAGGATCATAAAAAGTCATCAATCTAAACGCGTTAATGCAAATATTGTATTTAGATGTTTTTTTAAAAGCTTAGAGTGACAAGAAGCAGTTAGTAAAGAAATAGAAAAAGAAATATAATCAAATCAAATCTTAATAGGCGCCTCCAATCTTTTGCTCTCTATGTAACTTTTTCGTGAAAACTTTTTTATAACATAGAGTCCTATTTCTTCGACAAAGGCCTACATCAACAAAGGCCTACATCGGCAAAGGCCTACATCGGCAAAGGCCTACATCGGCAAATGCCTACATCGGCAAATGCCTACATCGGCAAATGCCTACATCGGCAAAGGCCTACATCAACAAAGGCCTACATCGGCAAATGCCTACTTCGGGAAATGCCTACTTCGGGAAATGCCTACATCGACAAATGCCTACATCAACAAATGCCTACATCGGCAAATGCCTACATCAACAAAGGCCTACATCGGCATAGGCCTACATCAGCAAATGCCTACATCGACAAATACCTACATCAGCAAATGCCTACATCAACAAATACCTACATCATTTTCTAGAAAACGTGACACTTATCGTTTAAGAAAGATGACGGCAATTTTATTTTAAGATTAAGCAATTGTTGAGCATTTTTCCTTCGCAGTATAATGGGGATTGGTGGAAAAAATTTCGCTCGCTACTGTGCTCAAAAATCTTGTAAACACACCAATTGGTCTGGATTTTTGCATACCGGAAATTCAGACTTACAACGCTTCAATGAAATCGATGGTCACCTGGCATAAATATGGATGTGCACCGTTGGAGAAAGGAAGCGACGCCTCACATCTTACGGTAACATTTTCTTTTTTTTTTCTAAACCATACCCTTTTCTCTTTTTTACCCTAATCTTGTCTTTATTTACAGGGTGACTGAAAATTACGTGCGCCAAAGAAAACGCCATAATTTAATTTTCTTTCAAAGAAAGTGTAAAAATCTTTATTTATATAATAGTTGTAACAAAAGCATTTAATAATTATCTTGTTCAAACTACGATCGTCTTTTCGCTCGATCCTCCTCTTGATGATCCCACGCACCTCCTCTTGATGATTTCGGGTGTTAACGGTCCTCTTTCGTCCTCTTCCGGGCTTGAACTGAACATGCCCCTCATCTTTCCATTGCTTTACGATCTTCTGGACGGTCCTCAGAGCCATCCCAAGCCTCGATGCGATCGACGAGTGCTTCATGCCGCTTGTCGCCAGCTGTGCGATTGCGTCCCTACTAGCGCACGTCTTTGTCTTCGTCTTTGCCTTTGTCATCACCTAGAAAACAACTTTTTTAACAAAAAATTATTAGACAACGATAAAAAAAATATTAAAACACAAAAAGATGAGTAGTAATGCTTTATAAATTGTTTAAAAACGATGATGCTGATGCTGCGCGCACGTAATTTTCAGCCACCTTGTATATGTCGCAGCCGATTAAGGATTTCAGCCGAAGAAGTCTCAGAATTCTTCGGCTAGCCGATTAAGTCTCAAACATGAAATCTTGAGTTATGTATTTACTCAAGTCAATACCACAAACTCAAGCTCTCTAAAAGGCGCTTAAAAGCTAAAAACGCATTCTAAAGAGTGCGCATTTTATCATACTGTAAACAAAGGCTATGAAAGGGCCCTTTTCGCCATTTTCTATCTGATTCGTCATTTATTTGAAATAGAATTGTTTGTTTTTGTAAGTCAATTTGCCCCTTTGTTGGATCATCGATAAAACTTATTTACCACTAATCTGTTTATAATCGAACATAACCCCTTATTTCAATCCTATTTTTTCTTTTTGTTACTGTGCATTTTTTGTTTAAGCTACACTAATTTCTGTTGATCGTTAACCGGCCAAAGAGCTCCTCGTTCTTGACGACTTTCTTAGGTTTGTCCAAATTGCCTTTGATCCCATGATTGTAAAGCACCTCTTGATTCAATTCAAGAGAGAATAGCACTACAAGTTTTTAGTTTTTAGCGCCTTTTAGAGAGCTTTTAGAGAGCGTTTTTAGCTTTTAAGCGCCTTTTTGAGAGCTTGAGTTTGTGGTATTGACTTGAGTGATTTCATTTTTGAGACTTAATCGGCTAGCCGAAGAAGTTTGAGACTTAATCGGCTAGCCGAAGAAGTTTGAGACTTAATCGGCTAGCCGAAGAAGTCTGAGACTTCTTCGGCTGAAATCCTTAATCGGCTACGACATATATAAAATCTATCGACTTTTTAAAAAAAATTCTTTTTGGATTTAAAAAGGAATCAAAAAATTGTAAAAATTGGATAGATTTAATAAAAAAAAATAGACAAGATTACGGGAAAAAGGACAGGATTTAGAAAAAATGATGGATTTATGGATTTATAGATTTATAGATTATTAGAATCTTTTTTTTTAGTGTCATAATGCTGCCCACTATCGCGCTAAAGGTATCGCTTGTTGTTATGAGGGAAATTATTGTAATCTCCACATTGAACCCTTGCCTTATACAAAAATATCGACAGATTTCGAAGACGAGGAATACGGTAGGGGTTCTTGACGAATAAAATAAAATAAAAATCGAGTTACGTTTCAGATTTCAATGAAATAACCCTTTCATCATTTTCCAAATTCTTCTTTCTCAAAGCTTTCTTCATATTTTTTGCAATGAGTTTATTGATTTTCATTTTTATTTATATCACTCGTTTGTGGGGATTCAAAAAAAGTAAGTTTAAGAAATCTATTATTTGGAAATCTAGAGCTTCTAGAAAAAGAAAAATCAAAGGAGGATTTAATGGAGAAACAACCGATGCTTGGGATCGATGATTCGGGGTCGGATTTTGAATTGAAAAGAATATTCAGCTCTTACTGAGTTCTGGGTATTTTGAACGGGTGGTCGCATTGAAAGCATTGAAACAAAAACACTAGAATAGCCGCTTAGCTTTTGCTCAAACAAAAATGGTCAAAAATTGGACGAGAAGAAATGGAAACTTGATGGTCCTGGAGAGATCTACGAAAGGATTCGATTTATTTTAGGACAAGGCACTTTAGAGGAGGTATTATAATGTGCTGGGCTAGGTTTTGTGCTGACGGACAAGTCGATTTGGTAGATCGTTTCTAATCGAATGACTGGATTACACGAATGTTTTGGACACCGATCTGCTCCCATTTTTGGCTCAGAATCCCCAAGTAAATCACGATTTCCAGCAGGAAAATGCTAGCATTCACAAAGCCAATCATACCAAGAAATGGATGACGGCTAATGGATTGATTTCGATGAATTGGCTAAGTCGATCGCTTGAGCTCAACCTCATTGAGAACTTTTGGGGCATCTTGGTTTGAAAAGTTTACAAAAACCGACCCCAGTTTTTATCTGTTGCTGATCTTAAATTCGCTATTCGGCTTGCTTGAAACAATTTGGATTAAAACGTTTTACAAAACCACATTTCTTCAATGCCAAAACGATAATCCAGTTCAGGAAAATCGGTGCCAACTTTAAGCAAATGAAGGCTGATCTAACTCGGGTGTCATTTCACCTTGTTTGCATGGAAATGAAAAATCCAATCAAGCTCTATTTGGTATTATTTGAAAGGCTGAAATGTGCTCTATAAAATGATATAAAAAGTTAATAACAAAATTATCTCTGGAAAAAGTTATAGCCCTTCAAAGCGTGATGACTCGTTTAAAATACCCGGAAACTGTGCAAGAGCCGAATATTCTTATTCTAATTGTGATTAATAATGTTTTATCGTATTTGAAATCATTGTATTTAAGTATTTAAGTATTTAAAATTCATTTATAACAAAATTTTCTTTTCTAGAAGCGGTTCCGGGTCTGGGATGTGCTCGTTAAACGAAAGAACTGTTGCACAAGATTTGAAGATTATTAAGGTAAACACCAAGGAGTTGGTGCACTGAAAATAAACGAGATTAAGGTCTAGGGTTTTTATAGAGCTTTTCTAGAGCTTTTCTAGAGTTTATTTAAGAAAATTTCATCGATAATTGAATCCCAGGATCATCAATTTCTTTTACAAATTCGTAGCTTGAAATTTAGGATTTAGGATCTAGTCTTTTAAGTTATAATACTTATATTATAATATTATATTATTATCTTTTTATGTTATAATACTTATTGTAAAGTTAAAATAGAGCGAACTTGAGCGATTAAACATCAAAATAAAAAGAAAAGATTAGAGAGGGATCGAACCTGAGTAAAAGCTGGGTAGCTTGTTTTCGAGACAAGGTCCTTATCCACTACACCATAAGGCCAGATGCTTGGGGTGGCAAAAGAAACCTTGTGACTTTCCCTTGTTGGAAAAGAGGGGAAGACGGGATTGGGGGTATTTACCGTAAATACTGTAATAGTACCCCACCCCCATAATGACGGTGCGGAGCGTTGCGTAGTCTAGCTTTGAACGAGTTTTTCTCGACACTCGTTTATGCTACAATGGGCGCTTAGGTATCAAAAAATAGCCCTGAATTTCAGCTATTTTTTCATACCAAATACGCTTTTTTTTGAAAGTACGGGCGCTTTGAAAAATTAAATACAAAAAAATTTTTGCGACTACGCGACTGTACGTGGGCGGTGGGGTACTATTACAGTATTTACGGTAACTGTATCAAAGCGTTTTTCAAACGAATCACTTAACTTTTCAGGTGATCGATCAGGGACGATATGGAAAAGTTCGAACAGCCGAGTATAGAGGAAGTCTTGTTGCTGTGAAAGTAGGTCAAAAATTGAAATTCAGAATTCTAAAGACATAAATCAGACTTTCAACACAACTGAGGAGGATTCGTGGAAGAATGAGAGAGATGTCTATCAGACACAAATGTTGAATCATGAATGCATTCTACGTGAGTCGTTTTTTTCTAGAAATTAGCTCTTTCGGTTCTGATGAGTGTGCTAGAAAGGGTGCGTTTGCTAAAAAAACAAAGAATACTGGAAAACAATCACCGAATTTTATTAGTGTCGCTTTTTCAGAATTTGTCGCCGCTGACATCAACAGTGAAGACTCGATTACGCAGGTTTGGCCTTGAAAAGAGATTTTAGAGTAGATTAGAGATGAAAAGAGTAGATTTTTGATTTCCTCGAGATTCAACGGTTAAAATTGAATTTTTAGATGCTTTTGATTACGGATTATCACGAGCTTGGCTCACTTTACGACTATTTAAGACGGGAAAACGATTTGGATTTGAGAGAGGCGATTGAATTGGCATATAGGTAAAAACGCGATTATAATTATTCTCTTTTTATTTAAAGCAAATGATTTACCAGCTAGTTATTCATTTATAAACGTAAATTTCAAAAAAGCGGATAAGCCTTTCTAATTTTTCAATCATTTTCCCAAGAAAGTAAAAATCTGGGCGGGTCTGGGGATCGAACCACGGAGCCCACGCACCCAAAGCGAGAATTATACCACTGGACCAACTTGCCTTGCGAGAAAGAAGCCATATAAAGGGTGAAGTGAGGGCTAAACAAAAAAAATCGGCCAGCCGGGGGATCGAACCCGGGACCCCTCGCACCCAGAGCGACAATTACACCACTAGACCAAAGAGCGGAGGCAGGGAGATGGGAAAAAAGCCTTATAAAGGATGGAAGGAGGGTTGAAAAAAAAAAATGGAATTATTGAACCCGGGACCTCTAGCACCCTAAGCGAGAACTAGACAAACCAGCCTGCCGAAATGATGAGAAAGAAGCCTTATAAAGGATGAAAGGAGGGCTGAACAAAAAATGGAACTATTGGATTGAACCAGGGACCTCTAGCATTCTAAGCGAGAATCATACCACTAGACCAACCAACCTGGCGAAATGATGAGGAAGGATGGATGGAGGGTTGAACAAAAATTATTCCGTGGATTGAACCCGCCCGGGATCTCACCCTAAGCAAGAATGATACCACTAGACCAACAAGACCAACTGGTCGGGCTAAAATCGGGGAGATGTTTCGGGTGAATGTCGAAAAGCTGGTTTTAGCGTCAAAGAAAGAGTGATTTTTCAATTTTCAGTTCAATCTCCGGTATCGATCATCTTCATAACTCAGTTTTGGGGACAGGAAGTCGTCGAAAGCCGGAGATAGCTCACAGAGATTTAAAGGTTTATTGGATTTAAGTAACTCGAGAATTTCTTTTCAAGAAAGAGAACGGTGCTTTTTTTAATCTGATTGCCTTTTAGAGCAAGAATATTATTGTGAAACGTCCTGGTTTCTGCTGTATCGCTGATTTTGGATTAGCCGTTCGACTGTGAGTGTTTAGCGTAATAATACCGTAGCTTTAAATAGACGAGTTTAAATAGACAGTTTAAATAGACAGTTTTTTTTCAAGTTTACTCTAAGATCTAAGCCTTTTTTTATCCTAAAAAGTCATCTTTATATCGTTAAAAACGACTTTTATTAAAGTTTTTTAGATATTACCCTAAAGTCGCGAATATAAGTTCTGTTTGGTTTTCGCATGCAAATTGACGGCTGTCTCCGGTGCGGTGTGTCGAGGGTTCGAACCCCGCTGCAGCATAACTTTTTTTGCTTTTTAAGAACAATAATAGAAGTAAATTTATTGAGGGTTATAGCAATTTTATGCTGTTATTTGTTGCTTCGGGCGTGGCTCGGCGCGTCCGCCCTGATCCTCTCCAGTGCTCAGTCTTATGGATCCCTCCCTGGCCTCTTCATTCAGCCAAAGTGCACGTCGACGGTCGAAAGAGATGCTTTCCAGCGTCTTCTTCAACACTATCGTCTGGATATATCCATAACGAATAGCAATGGTGATAGGCTGTGGTGACGGTGTGGAGAGCTGCGTAGTCTAGCTTTGAACGAGTTTTCCTCGACACTGGTTTATGCTACAAGGCGCGCTTAGGTATCAAAAAATAGCTGAAATTCAGGGCTATTTTTTGATACCAAAGACGATCAATGGTGATCACCCTGTAGTTTCCCGCGCTCCAAGAACAATAATAAAAGTTTATATAACAATAAAAATGTATAAAAGCCCAACAAAAAGAAATTCAAAGCAATTAAAGCGAATGTAAATTAAGGCAGAACTTATACTCGAGACTTTAGGGTAGATTGAAAAGAAAAGATGTTTTAAAGAGAGAATTCACCTTTTTACAGTGAAAACAACAAAATTATGCCAGAAAAAGTGAACATTCAAGTTGGCACGAAGAGATATATGGCACCAGAGGTTTCTTTTTAACTACTTACACTTCTTTACACTTCCTGACTTACTTCCTTACTCATTTCCTTACTTATTGCCTTACTTACCTTCTTACTTCCTTCCTTACTTATTTGCTTACTTATTAGGTTGATGCATAAGTGTTTTTGTTCCTTTTCGTCTGCCGTTTCAAGCCAACAAATGCACGAATTAAACTACGGTTGATTTCATTAGAAAAAGCAATTATTTTTCTGCAAAATAACATTAAAACGGGTTTAAAAATATTTAATGCCTGGATTTTCTTGAGAGTATGAAGTCGGGTAGTCAAAAAGGGCTAACTCGATGATGCGGTTTAGGCTCAGGCTCAGGCTCAGGCTAAGCCTCAGCCTAAGCCTGAGCCTGAGCCTGAGCGGTTTAGACACCTTAGCTAAAGAAAACCTATCTTCGTGTCAATAGATAAAAGATAGAGAAAAAAAACGTTTGATATTTCGCCAAAATTTCAGAGAAATTCATTCAGCCAATTTTTCCGTAGAGTTTTTTATAGATTTTTACGAAAAAGGCGTTTTTCACTCTCGAATTTGCTTCAAAGTGAACCGAAATTCATTTAAAAAGATGCAAATTGAACAAAAAAAACACTTTTTTTTGATAGAGCAAACTATAGATTAATTCGTGAATTTGTTACTTTTTAACAGAAGTACGAAAAAAACGAAAACACTTATGCATGAACCTATTATTTCCTTACTTCCTTACTTACTTCCTTGCAAAACAATTACTTTAGCTGCTTTCGAAAGAACTCAACATAAATGTTTTCGAGGAGTTCAAACGCGCCGACATCTATTCGTTCGCGTTGGTGATGTGGGAGATCGCGAGAAGTGTTTGTTTCATTGGACAGACAGACAGTCAACACTTGCAATATCATTACAATAATATTCAAAGCCATGAACATAACTTTAGAATCAGTTGCAGATGCAGATCAGTTGCAAACTTCTAAAAAATTTCATTTTTTCAGTGTCCCCATCCGTGTGGTCGATCTTCTGAGGCACCAAAAGATGCAAGCCTTTCAGCAGGTGAGTCAAGCAGCAAGTCAGCTACTAGACAGATTAGGAAAAGCACTTATAAGACAAAATATTTCTGTACTAACTCTTGCAACTCTAAAGTTTAAGAAATTTGAATGTCAATGAATTCTTACTATAATGGCTTAATTTTAATAAATAGCTTGTTTGCTTACTGCTTTAAAAACACTATAACAGTGTTTTTCGGAAATTTCTCAAAAAAGCGAAAAGCTAGCCGCCAGCGGAATCGAACCGGCAAGCCTAGGTTTTAGAGTCACTATCCCCCAGACCACCGCTCCCTTGATTGCTTTCGACATGACGCCTTCTTATAGATGAGGTCGCGGTTTGCGTAGCTAATTGGACTTGGTGCTTTTATGGGTTGGGGAATACAAACATGATCGGGAATCGAACCCACGACCTCTGCTTACCAGGCGAACCTTACCAATGAGCTTACCAATAAGCTTACCTGAGCTTACCAATGAGCTTCCCAATGAGCTTCCCAATGAGCTTCCCAATGAGCTTACCAATGAGCTTCCCAATGAGCTTACCAATAAGCTTCCCAATAAGCTTACCAATGAGCTACACCGACTACTTTACTTCTTTTCAGATTCGGGTCTTGGTGCTTCAGCAAGCAACTCGTCTTCTCTCTCAAAACTTTACGAGTGTCCGTTTGAGGGAATGGTCAAATCGGATCCATCTCTCGAAGAAATGAAAGTGATTGTTTGTGACATGAACTATCGACCTGAGATCCCCGCATTTTGGAGGAATCCTATTGAGGTCGGTTCTTTATGCTTAAAGCCACATCTTACACCATCTGGTGCAATAAAATCCCTGTTTTTCTCGCGTTGCTGGGAGAAAATAAGTTTGGTGTGTAAGAAAAGCGTTTGAGTACAAAGTAAAGTACAAAGTAAAGTACAAAGTAAAGTATAAAGTAAAGTATAAAGTAAAGTACAAAGTAAGTTTTTAGGAACCCGAGCTCAATCGTTATTCCCAATTGATAATCGATTGTTGGAACGGGCATCCACATCGACGGCATACAGCATTGAAAGTGAAAAAAGTGTTGAGCGGGATTCTCGGGAATCTTTATACGAGTCAAGTAAGTCAAGTTGAATATCTTTTCAAATACTTACCTTTTAAAATGTAATAGTACCGCACCCCGATAATGACGGTGCAGAGTGTTGCGTAGTCTAGCTTTGAACGAGTTTTTCTCGACACTGGTTTATGCTACAATGCTCGTTTAGGTATCAAAAAATAGCTGAAATTCAGGGTTATTTTTTGATACCAAATACGCTTTTTTTGAAAGTACGGGCGCTTTGAAAAAAAATGAAATACGAAAAAACTTTTGCGACTACGCGACTGTACGAGGCGAGTGGGGTACTATTACAGTATTTACAGTAGGTATAATGTTAGTTGTTTCGAAGGGAAATTGGCTTTAGAAAAAACATACCGTAAATACTGTAATAGTACCGCACCCCGATAATGACGATGTGGAGAGTTGCGTAGTCTAGCTTTGAACGTGTTTTTCTCGACACTGGTTTATGCTACAATGGGCGCTTAGGTATCAAAAAATAGCTGAAATTCAGGGCTATTTTTTGATACCTAAACGCGCATTGTAGCATAAAGTAGCGCGGAGAACGGGATGTTTCAAATTAGACTACGCAACCATCCCGAAAAAACGCGTTTTTCTCGACACTGGTTTATGCTACAATGCTCGTTTAGAAATCAAAAAATAGCCCTGAATTTCAGCTATTTTTTTGATACCAAATACGCTTTTTTCTTAAAGTACGGGCGCTTTGAAAAAAAATGAAATACTAAAATACTAAAAAATTTTTGCGACTACGCGACTGTACGAGGCGGGGAGTGGGGTACTATTACAGTATTTACGGTAATAAATTAAAAGCTCAACTTTTTAGGGCACAAATCTCAATAAAGGTTTCATCCCATGCAAGAAAGAATCCGACAGTGGAATTGGGAGTAATGGATCGTCAAAAGAACGTCCGATTTTACCAGTGTCATTCATTCAACAAGTTTAATTTCAATTTTGATTTGATTTTGTGTTAATAAATAACTTATAAAGATAGATAAAGACAACAGAAACAAAAGAAATCAATAATTTAGCCGTTTTCTTAGATTTTTCCTTTGTAGAAAGTTGAATTTGTAAAAAAATAGCCAGATTTTTCTTGATTTCAAAAATGAACACTTATCTATCAAGGCCAGATGGTCGGGAAACGGCAAAGAAAGCGAAAATCGTTAACAATGATCTCCATCGGATCTGGCCAGTTAAAACGGGCCCCCATATGTAAAGGCACTGTCCCAGACAACGAGCGATCACAGCCACACAGCCACAAAGAACTCAATCATTTAAAGATCTCTTCAGGGGATCAGGGAGTTGCCAGATGGTTGGGAAAGGTCGAAGAAATCGAAAACTATCAACAATGATCTCCATCGGATCTGGCCAGTTAAAACGGGACCGCCACAGATGGCCCGGAAACGGTCGCCTTCATGTAAAAGCCCTGCGCCAGACAACGAGCGATCATAGCCACATAAAGAGCTCAATCATTTAAAGATCTCTTCAGGGGATCAGGGAGTTGCCAGATGGTCAGGAAAGGTCGAAGAAATCGAAAACCATCAACAGTGATCTCCATCGGATCTGGCCAGTTAAAAAGGGAGCGCCAGAGATAGCCAGGAAACGGTCCGGAAGCCTTGCGCCAGACAACGAGCGATCACAGCCACACAGCCACAAAGAACTCAATCATTTAAAGATCTCTTCAGGGGATCAGGGAGTTGCCAGATGGTCAGGAAAGGTCGAAGAAATCGAAAACCATCAACAGTGATCTCCATCGGATCTGGTCAGCTAAAAAGGGAGCGCCAGAGCTAGCCAGGAAACGGGCCCCCATATATAAAAGCCTTGCGCCAGACGACGAGCGATCACAGCCACACAAAGAACTCAATCATTTAAAGATTCTCTAGATGTATCTAGATTCTCTCTAGAATCATTTAAAGATTCTCTAAAATAAAGATCTTCAGGTGTAAATTTGTTACTGGGATTTGCATGATCAACGAATCGATTGAAGCTATTCATTTTATTGAGTTTACCAATTGAAACCTGGGTTTAATTGGTTTGGTTTAAACTTTTAAATAGACTTGAAAGTTTATTTTCTTAGCCTCTTCACATTTATTGACAGCAAAACACTTTTCCTTTAACATTTCACGTTGTTTCCCCTTTTCCCGTGCCCTTTCTACCGTAGCTTTCTTCAATTTCCGTTTCGAGACCCATTCTCTAGGCAAATTCCATTTATTTTTGCTTTTTTAAACATTTATTCCTTTTTATATTTGATTTTCATTTAAAATTTGTAGAAAATAGAGAAATTGTTATGAAAAATGAAAGATTTTGCGTTGTTGATGATTTAAAAGCAACAAAAACTTTGATATGTTTCTTTTTTTTTAGTTAAAACTAAATCTTTTACTATTCATTCAGTCTCAAACGATTTGTACTTATCAATTGAATATTTAATTATTGAATTCATTTAAATGAATTCAATAAAATGAATTCAATTAAATAAATTCAATTAAATGAATTCTGATAAATGAATTCTGATTTGAATTGAATAGAAAATTTTCTTTGAGTTTTGAGAGAGTCCAATAGTCTCGAAACCTTTCAATTATCTGTAGATGATCTTGATCTTGTAGCTCTAGTGGACCTTGAGCTTGATCTTGTAGCTCTAGTGGATCTTGAGCTTGATCTTGTAGCTCTAGTGGATCTTGAGCTTGATCTTGTAGCTCTAGTGGATCTTGAGCTTGATCTTGTAGCTCTAGTGGATCTTGAGCTTGATCTTGTAGCTCTAGTGGATCTTGAGCTTGATCTTGTAGCTCTAGTGGATCTTGAGCTTGATCTTGTAGCTCTAGTGGATCTTGAGCTTGATCTTGTAGCTCTAGTGGATCCTTGACGTTATCTGTGCTACCCATATATTACATACATTATATCGTGTTGCTTTTATCGGCTTTTTATCGGCCTAAAAGGACTTAAAAGGACCGGCGTATTCAGCTAGTACTGTGTTTCACTACATTATGCTACAATATTCAGCAAACAAAACAGTTTTTCTACCAGTGAAGCGGCAGGTCATGGGTTCAAATCCCGGCGCCGACCATTTTTTCCATTCCCAGCTTTAACCTAACCTTATCTTGATCTTGAAGTTCTTCCTCAAGTCCTGAATAAAGTATCTATCTATCTATATATATATTAGGTAAAACATGGGTGCCTACAAGTATATGCAGGAGTTATGGCGAAAGAAACAATCGGAAGCGATGCGATACTCGTTGAGGATTCGATGCTGGCAATACAGGTTTGCATTTGGGGAATAGAAATAGAGATAGAAATAGAGATAGAGATAGAAATAGAAATAGAATAGAAATAGAATAGAAATTGATATTGATAATCTAAAAAAAATTTAAGGAGTATTTATTTTTTGAACAATTTAAAGTCACCTCTAGTTTTGAAAGTTGTTGAAATGGCTTGAAAGCTTTTGAATTCTTTTCCAAATTTGACCAAATGAGATTTGACTCTAGAATTGATCGAATATCTAGCTGAATATCTAGCTGAATATTTGAATATTTGAATGCATAGAATAATTGAATATCTTTTAAAATAACCTCGCAAACGAATTTTAATCTTTTTTACTTCTTTTTCTAAAGACAAATACTAGTTTTCCATCGAATCGACCAGCTTCTCTTTGAATTTTTCTCAGATGAAAGGCCTCTTTTCGTTTAGTTTAAGGAAAGATTTAAATGGAGAACTTAAAAGATAACTTTGATAATTCTTTACTATTTATTTTCTAGTTGAAATTGATGAGAATTAGGTTTTTCTTTCAGACAAATGTCTGGCATTCACCGCGCTGGCATTCACTAGAAAACTAGACAACTAGAAAACTAGATAACTAGATAACTAGATAACTAGATAATGATTGTTTTTCAGACAAATGTCTGGCATTCACCGTGCTCCCCGACCCACCCGGCCCGAGAAGGCTCGTCGTCTCGGATACCGTGCCAAGCAAGGTGAGCTAAAAAATTACACTTTCAAAATATCTAATCTTTTAAAATGTACTCAAAAGTTGATTATCTAATTGTTTACCGTATTGATTTGATGAGGAAAGGGCCAAAGCAAAGTGAGCAAGAGTTTTCTTGTAGTTTTCTTGTAAAATCAAAGTTACCCCAATGCTCTATGTTTAGCTCTGTGGTATTTGATCAAAAAACAAAAGCCAGAAACCGCTGAACCTTTAGCCGATTGGTTAAGCGTCAAGTCGTTAAGGGACAAACGTACGGAAAACCGAAAACCCATGGAGGTTTTCGTGTGGTATTTGATCAAAAAACAAAAGCCAGAAACCGATGAACCTTTAGCCGATTGGTTAAGAGTCTTCTATCTTTATAGTCTAAAGGTCAAGGGTTCAATCCCGCTCGCTTTAATTATTGGTTTTTTGCCATAGATTTTTCCCTAAATTTAGCTTAAAGATTTTGTATTGTGAATGTATTTTTATTTGTATTTTTAAAAATTCTAGGCTACGTTGTTTACCGTGTTCGCGTTCGTCGTGGTGGTCGAAAGCGTCAAGTCGTTAAGGGACAAACGTACGGAAAACCGAAAACCCATGGAGTGAACGAATTGAAAAATCAACGAGGACACCAAGCTGTTGCTGAGGTGAAGAGTTTTTAAACACACGTTTTCTAGCGAATTGCTATGAGAAAAATGAAGACTTTCTTGTAGGAAAGGGTTTTTTTGAAGGGGAAACAGGTTTACAGGGGCTAAGGTTAACAATTAGCGTCTAATTGAAAGCAAGAGCTTTTATAGAAGTTGGATATTGGATCCAAGTTGGATATTAGATCCAAGTTCAATACTGGATACTGTTCTAAATTAGAATTTCATTTACTTGCATAAATTTAAGCAAGAATTCGTTTAAGTAAGTTAAGCTAGAGAAGCAATCCGAGCTAGATTTCTATTCTAAATTACAATTTTAGTTACAATAGTCTTAAAAGCAATCCAAATTCGAAAAGCAATAGAAAATAAAAGCAGATAAATGTTAATTTGAATAAGCTCTTGATTCTAGTGCCGTGTCGGTCGTCGTTGCGGTGGTTTGCGCGTGCTTTCGAGCTATTGGATCGGTCAAGATTCCACTTACAAATTCTTCGAAGTGATTCTCGTCGATCCAGCTCATAAAGCAATCCGCCGAAACCCTGACACTCAATGGCTGACAAAAGCCGTTCACAAACACAGAGAGATGCGCGGTTTAACCTCAGCTGGAAGAAAATCCCGTGGACTCGGCAAAGGACATCGATTCTCAGCCACTCGCGGTGGATCACAGGTTAGCTTTCGATAAAGACGATAGACGAAGACGATAAAGACTAGACAATTGACTAGATTCCAACATTAGAAATCATTCTTTAACTACATTTCAATCAAAAGCTCAATCAAAAGCTCAATCAAAAGCTCAATCAAGGCCCAATCAAAAGCTTAATCAAAAGTCAATTGTTTATTGTGAACAGGGCAACTTTTAAGACTGTTGCCTTGTTGCCTTTTAAGACTGTTGCCAATGTTGCCTTGAAATGTCAAAAGGTTAAAGAAAAGTTAGAAAAGATCGATTAGATTAAGGTGATGAGCTTGTAGAAAAGAATTCACCGACTGTAATTGAAGAATTAAGCGTTTACAGATAGTTTAAAATAAGTCCATTACAATTGAAGGATTAAGCTTTTAAAGATAGTTTAAAATAAGTAGAAGATTTTCTAAAATCTCCTTTTTTTTCAGGCAAAGAATTGGCTCCGCAAAAACACGAAAGTTCTCCGCCGCAAACGTTAAATTCCATTTCATTGTTGTGTTTATTTGCTTTTTTTATGACAATAAAGTTATTGTTGACTCTAAAATTTGGGTTTTTTTTTGGTTAAAACAAAATTGAAAAGTATTTGAGGAAAATCGAGTGGACTAAAATGACTTTTGACTAAAGTAACGCGTTTTTTTTTTCTTCTATTACGTTGATGCAAAAGTCTTTTTCATTTTTTTCGTACTTCCGTTAAAAAGTAACAAATGCACCAATTGAACAACGGTTTATTGCATTCGAAAGGCCAATTATTTTTCTGCAAAATGACATTAAAACGTGTTTAAAATGTCTTATGTCTAGATTTTTTTTGAGAGCCTGAAGTCGGGTAGTCAAAAAAGGCGACGGCTCGATGATGCATTTTAGACGCTTTAGCTAAGGAAACCAATATTGATGTTAATAAATAAAAGATAGAGCACAAAAAGTTCGATGTTTTTTTTAGATTTTCAGAGAAATTGATTCAGCCAATTTCTTTATAGAGGTTTTTATAGGTTTTTATGAAAAACCCGTTTTCACTCTCGAATTTGCTTGAAAGTGAACCCAAATTGACTTAAAAAGATGTGAAATTCAACAATAAACACTTTTCATTTAGAGCAAACCATAGGTTAATTGATGACTTTTTTATTTTTCAAAAGAAGTACGAAAAAAATGAAAAAGACTTTTGCATCATTAGGTACATGCATAAGAAATGCGGATTTCAACATTTTCATCAATTTCTGAATGTGAAGCTTCGGGTACTGAATGTGAAGCTTCGGGTACTGAATGTGAAGCTTCGGGTACTGAATGTGAAGCTTCGGGTACTGAATGTGAAGCTTCGGGTACTGAATGCGAACATTCGGGTACTGAATACTTTGGAAAGTTGATTAAGTACGATTTTAAAGATTTCTCTGCTTTAATTTCTCTGTTTTTACAAAGATAACATTTTTAAAAAGTCTAAATAAGCAATAAATATTAAATAAATGAAAAGAATTGGTTTATCTTAATATGAAATATTAGGTACATGCATAAGAATATGCGAATTTCCCTTACAATACAAGTAACGAGTAACCCTTTTAGTTTCTCAAAAAGGTTAAGATTTCTTGGAAAATTGGAAAAGACTTGACTTCTGGATCTGTGAGCTCATTGAGATTTGTGAGCCAGTTCTGATTCCAGCCAGTTCTGATTCCTAGTTGATCATGGTTATCAAGGCTAAAGTTTAGAGACAATTCAAAATCTCTATAATTTCAAAAAAGCACTGTATAAGACTGCATTTTTCTTCATTTTTCCACTAAAGTAAATTATTGTTTGTATCGAGAAGATTCCGTTATTTTCACATTCAAGACATTCAAGACAAGACATTCAAGACAAGATATTCAATACAAGACATTCAAGACAAGACATTCAAGGCAAGACATTCAAGACAAGACATTCAAGGCAAGACATTCAAGACAAGACATTCAAGACAAGACATTCAATACAAGACATTCAAGACAAGACAAGTTGTCAACAACGCGCAAAAATTTAAATATTAGTTACAAGCATAAGAAATGCGGATTTCAACGTTTTCATAAATTTCCAACGATACATTATCAGATATCGATGAATGTTATAAACTATTTGAAAGTTGTAAATCTCCTCTACAAAATAGGCTATAAAGTGTTTCAATTGATTGAAGCATTGAAGAAATTTCGAGGACGAAATGCGAGTGACCAAAAAAAGGCACTTTGGCAACTTTCAAACGCAAATTTAGGAACCTTTCCGAGAGGCTATAAATATAAAGGCTTTCTTATTTTTTTTGCCCCCTTTTTTGTTGTGTTGCGTTCTATCTTCTTTATTCTTGCCTAATTGCCTCCCGCTCACACGAAGAAGACGGTTCAGGACTGGTGTGTGGCCAACTTTCCCTCAGTGATCACCAAGGACTGTAATCGGCCAACTTTCCCTCAGTTCTTCACCAAGGATGAATAGCCTCCAAACTCACCGGATCTCAATGTGATGGACTTTTCCATTTGGGCAATCTTAGAGGCTAATGTCTGCTCTTTGACCTTGAAGAAGTCTTTGACCAAAGGATGGAAGGCGACTCCTCAAGATGACATTCGGGCCGCAGTGGAGGCATATCCGAACCGATTAAGGGCTGTTATCAAGGCAAAAGGCGGTCATATCGAATGATCTCTTGTTTCCTTATTTGTTACTGTTAAATAAAGCTATTTCTGTTTAAAAATCTTCTTCCAGTGAAACTTCTTGGTGTGCAATGCCTTGAGTATCTTGTTGCAATAATTATGACGCACCCTGTATATAGTCAAAACCGAACTCTTGTGAAAGTGGGGTTTTAAAAAAGTGTCTTTTTTGGTCACTTATTAGACTTTTTTAATGAATTGAGATATAGTTATCCTTTTTTTAAATCTTCAATTTCGGGAAGCTAACTCTATTTTGACCACAATAAACTTTTCCCTAAAGTAACTTGATTCCTTTTTTTGGTCACTCGCATTTCGGCCTCGAAATTTCTTCAATGCTTCGATCAATTGAAACACGTTTTAGCCTATTTTGTAGAGGAGATTTACGACTTTCAAATACTTTATAACATTCATCGATATCTCGTTTCTATCGTTGGAAATTTATGAAAATGTTAAAATCCGCATTTCTTATGCATGTACCTAATATTTCATATTAAGATAAACCAATTCTTTTCATTTATTTAATATTTATTGCTTATTTAGACTTTTTAAAAATGTTATCTTTGTAAAAACAGAGAAATTAAAGCAGAGAAATCTTTAAAATCGTACTTAATCAACTTTCCAAAGTATTCAGTACCCGAATGTTCGCATTCAGTACCCGAAGCTTCACATTCAGTACCCGAAGCTTCACATTCAGTACCCGAAGCTTCACATTCAGTACCCGAAGCTTCACATTCAGTACCCGAAGCTTCACATTCAGTACCCGAAGCTTCACATTCAGTACCCGAATGTTCGCATTCAGTACCCGAATCTTCACATTCAGTACCCGAATCTTCACATTCAGTACCCGAAGCTTCACATTCAGTACCCGAAGCTTCACATTCAGTACCCGAAGCTTCACATTCAGTACCCGAAGCTTCACATTCAGTACCCGAAGCTTCACATTCAGTACCCGAATGTTCGCATTCAGTACCCGAATCTTCACATTCAGTACCCGAATCTTCACATTCAGTACCCGAAGCTTCACATTCAGTACCCGAAGCTTCACATTCAGTACCCGAAGCTTCACATTCAGTACCCGAAGCTTCACATTCAGTACCCGAATGTTCGCATTCAGTACCCGAATCTTCACATTCAGTACCCGAATCTTCACATTCAGTACCCGAAGCTTCACATTCAGTACCCGAAGCTTCACATTCAGTACCCGAAGCTTCACATTCAGTACCCGAAGCTTCACATTCAGTACCCGAATCTTCACATTCAGTACCCCGATTCAGTTCTTTGTATGATTAAATCCGCCAAGTCTTTCTCTGTCGATTGGTACAAAAAGTATTTAAATTGAACAGCTGAACACTGAGATATTTGAGTTCAAAGTCAGATTGCCAATGGCAAAGTTAGATTGGCTGAACCCGAATGTTCACATTAAAGAAGTATTTTGACAACTTTTTGAAAAAGTATCTCAGAAATATCTCATTTATTTTAAAACTTGAAAAAGCTATCGGAAAATGGAGAAAAATGGGATAAATTTGCGCCAAAACAAGATTTTCGTGCCAAAAATATTCGCATTGAGGAAAATCGAGTGGACTAAAATGACTTTTAGCTCAGTTAGCTCAGAAATTTTGTCGAGAGCACTGAGACTCGTACTGGAAATCTTTATGTCACGACTGCGGCACAAGTTACCCCAATTGGATATCTAGATGTTGCCTCGTTTTTTCTCTACTCTATGCCATTTTAAAACAAAATTTCCTGATACTTTCCAAGTTTTAAGTCAATTGTTGAGACGGAATATCAACAACAGCAATATCACTAGCAATACCAGGTGTTCCACCACAAAGGTGACAATGTTGAAGAAGCAATTCCATCTTTTCGAATTCTACCAGAAGATGCTTGAGTTTCGAGATCATTTCCTTCTTATCCGAAAGTGGCCAAGTTCTTCCAATGACAGGTTCAAGTTTCACCGACTAGCGCTCATTCAAGCGCTTGTTAAATGAGTTGTATAAGTGCAATCGGGAAGTTTTTGGTAGAGAAATGCTGCCGAGAATTAGGGCTACAATTCTCTATATAACACTTGCCACATTTGAAATCAATTCGACATTTCCCAGATACTTTTTCAAGTTGTCGCTATAATTCGCGGTCACCCTGTACCTTTCCATGTGTGTACCTTTCGTGTGTCTCGTAGGGAAAAACGGCATCTGGCACACGGCCCTTCCACATAGGCGACAAAGATCGCTAAAAGTGAAAAATTTCGGTTTAATTACCCAAGTTTCATTTCATTGCCCAATTTCATTCTTTTTCAATCAAATATTACGGAAAAGATTCTTAGCTCATTAAAAAAAGAATAGCCAACCTTGTCGTAAGCTCAGAAAAGCTTCGTTTACATCTTTAAGCACAAAGTTTTACTAGTTGTTTTTATGGTTAATTTAGTGAGCTAGAAGAAACTCAACGAAAATTCTAGCTGATTGAGTCCATCAGAAGGACTGCGTTTAGTATTTCGACCTAACTAGTAGAAGTAGAAGTAGAACCCAAAGTACACCATAGTACAAAGCTCAAAGTACATCCAATTGTGATAGAGATTTCTTCGAAGTATTCAGTGCGCCAGAAGGGATGTGTTTTTAAGCTTAAAGTACGTCACTATCAATTCTCAAATCCAAATTTTGAAGCGTTCCATTCTTTTATCGATTCTGATCGAGAGATGGTTTTGAGTGGAAAAGGGTTGATTGATCCCTTTCAAAAAAAAGAAGGCATTAAGGGAAATGGGGAGAAGCTAGAGAAGCAGAGAAATGAGAAAGAGAGAGAGGAGAAAACGATAAGAGATGAGGGGACACAGCCAT